ACACCCATTGATCTCGGATTGTCCGGCCCCCACGTGACCTGCGATGCCTTCGCGTTTCCCGACGCCAGCAATGGTAAGGGTCCCGATATCGAGTGACCAGAAAATTTACCAAGAATTTGCTTCCGTATATTGCAGAACAGAGTCGCGGCATGCTGTCAATTGGGAGGCAGCCACTGTGAGTTATCAACTTGACCTTTGAATAAGTCACAAGCCCAAGGAACCCAGGACTCTGGTTTGCTGGGCCCCGGTCGATAGACTTCAATTAGTCAACGCGAAATAGATGGATAGAGTAGCGCCGGATTGGCGTACCGAAGGCCTCGCAGAAAGCTAGACAAACCGTCTGAAGAAATTTGAAAATGAGACCAAAACCATACGTTAATAAAGGGCCACACAGACTTCAGACTTCATTGCGACACCGCAGGAGCCTTTACCGGGTGCCAGGGTGCATGCCATCTGCTGCAAGAGCTATGTCATGAGTTTAAACATGACTCCAAGTTCCTATTGTCGAGTTTGGGCCAGTGAGCGGTTGGGTAGTGTTGATCTAGTCGACCGCCTTTCCACATCACCCCAGAAACCAGGGGGCTTCAACATAACAGATGGAAGGGCAATCATTGTAATGTATACAAAAAAAAGTGAAGGATGGGGCACCTGCTGGGGTGTTGAAAACATAGTGTACACTAGAATCGACAAAACATGAGAGAACCCCCGGCCTTTCGGTTCGTCAACGCAATTAAGGACGAAAAGACGCGAGATTACCAACTGACGACCGGGTCCCTCGCTCTAAACATATGGTATTTCCACAGACTCGGCCAGGTCTGGATTTCAATCCTGTCTGTACATACTTACAGAAGGTTGGAGGGAAGTTTAGCCCAGGGATTTTTTGGAAAATGCAAGACAGACCGCGGTAGTGGCGATGGCCGGGGAAGGAATGCCGGTTGATCTGCCGCGGGTATCATCACCACCTGCTTGGATGGGAAATGATGCCAATCGCAACCCGTTGAGTAACTCACAACCGAGGGTTCGGGCTCTGACGTTTGACTCGCTCAGATCCGGGACAAGGGGTGCCCTTTTCCCCCGAGGAACCGGCAACGGGCAGGACGGGGTCCAGAGGATGGCCGAGGAGTGACCATCCTGGCCCGTCCCTTGAGAGCAGGGCAACGTCGGGGGGTTTGGGGAAAGGGGAAGAAACGTTTCAATAATTCGGACGAAGATAATAGAGCTGCCACGGGTGGTGGTATGCGGCTCAGCCAGCATCAAGCTTGTTTTGCAACTTGAAGCATGAAGGGGAGACGTCAACTGCGATAATATGCGCGCGATATTGGTAGGGCAAAGAGACTGCTGGGCGGGCGGATCATCGACAGGCTATCTGATCTTACTTGAGCAAGAACTTGGCAATGATGTGAGGGGTTGTGTCAGTGTGTGAATGTGTCTTGCAGTAGTGGTTCAACTTTGACTGAGCCTCAAACCGTGGTGCCGCGGTGGAGTTCCCTGCGTGGCTTAGCGCCCTCCGTCACTGTACAGGGTCGATCTCAATCCTCTCATAATGGTATGCACATTGCTCGGGGCGGCGCACACGGACTGGTTCCCAGTGGGATATGGCAAGGGATCGGAGCCCGTGGGCGCCAACAACAAGGCACACGGGTGGGCGCGGCATTGATAAGGGTGGGAGGGGAGCGAGTGCGGTGTAACGGTGGCATGGCCGACGGGTCGTGGAAATGACAGTGGGAGCTGACGTAGCGTCCATTGGCCCAATTTGCGATGCTGGGAAGAAGCCAGCAGACAATGGGGGCGGGTATGAGGAGGCCTCGTCTACATACGTCGCAACAGAGCGTTGGCCCTCGCGTTGGAGGTGCGTATGCGGACACGCAGCGAGAGAGAAGAGACGCGTATTCTACTCTCGCTTAATCGAGATGTTGCGCCTTTCTGTCTAGTCTCCGTAACGCAACCAATCCGTGGCGGAAGATGCCGCCGGCTGGTGCATGCATGATACGGAACAGCAGTGAAGAGTAAGATGGAAACAAAACAAATCCTCATCGACAAAAGGAAAGAAGGAACACATTCTGATTCAGCCACCTGCAAGCTCAGCATGCGAAGGAATATTTTGGCCCTAGATGCATTCTAGAGAGGCCAGCCTCATTTTCTCAGCCCTTGAAGGACCGGGACGCCAGGAAACGCTGGGAGGCGCGCCGGGCGTCTGTGACGGATCGTGGACAAGCTTATCAGCTGGGGTACGCCACGGCGTAGTCCGGCTGGGCACATCGCCAGGTCGGGAATCTCGTGGGACGTTGGGCAGTCTCGTGGGCAGAATTAAGGTACGGCCAGGTGAAATGCAGGTCGCATGCAGAGAATTAACGGGATGAGGAAGAGAGGGTTGGGATAGGACTGATGAGAGTGTGGCTGTGAAGAAGCCTCACCCTTCAGGTACAGTCCTAGCCTTGCCAGCCAACACACACACACGCGCTGCGAACAGCGCCTGCCCAGTCTATGTTGCCGTCGGCAGGGTGCGGGAGGCTAATTAGCGAATAGTTGGCTTTTCCTTTTTCCTTTTCTTTGGGGGCGACCCGTAAATGACTGCATTCCGAGATAATATGGCTGGTTGCTGGGTACGTTACTGCTGCCAATGTCAACAAAGTCGACCATGTTAAGGGGAAATGGGTCGCGTGTGCTTTAGCGGGTTGGTCCAATGGCCATGGTTGACTTGCAGGTCTGCAGCAACTGGAGCAGCCATTTCGATAGCGTAGCGTGCGGCCCACTCGATGGTTGGATGTTAGCGGGGTGCATCTTTGTTTGCTCCTTGGCCCGGCGGGAGGCAGCCATTTGCAGCCATCCAATGTCACGCACTAACAAAGCGGACGGCCAGACGCCAGGCGGCGAACCCACAAGACCACATGTCGAGTCCTATTCCTGGCGCAGCCCGCTGCAACCTTGGGTCCGGGTTCTCTGCACAGCCCTACTGTCCCTGGAAGAACCAGCTTCTCTCCTTGGAAGACGTGGCATTGGATCGGGAGGGGGAAAGTCTGGAGACTGAGAAGGGTGCGCGTGGTGCACTGGCTTTCTGGCTGTGCTGTGCCGGCACTAGTGCACCTTTCCTGATGGATGGATCATGGGCCAAAGTGCGGTACGGGGACCGACATTGGACATTGACTGAGTGATTGTCAGATGCGCCTTGATTCCTCTGGGGTTCCAAGGATTGGCCTTATTGCTTCTGAGGCCTCTTGTTGCCGGCTGCTCTATTTTATACGACAGACGCATGCTCTCCCCCTTCTCTCTGTTCTTCTGTTTCCTTACCTCCAGCTCTAAACGCCAAACGCTACGAGTCGACTGGTCGACCATCGAGAAAGCCTGCCTCTGCTGGCTCCCGACACTAATACGAGAAAGAAAGAGGGCGCCGAGCCCTGCAACCACACAACACGGTACCACTCGCAGCACCAGACGAACGTAAACTACGCTGGTCATTTATCGACCAGACCAGACCGCAGAGAGACCCACTTGCCTCGCAGAGGACTGCAACTCACACACACGCTCTCAGTCGTTCACCTCACCTCATCGCAGCCGTCGAAGGAGCCAGATGCAATCCATCCACCCGTACTTCCCATCCACCACCTAACTGATCGCCCCTCCCGACGAATCGAAGCCGACCTAGACCCTGCCGTGGAGCACCCAAGTCGGCCCTCCGACAGCTAAAGGAAGAACGACCTCTGGTCCGTCTTACCTCACCACGCATTCGTTGGCCATAAGACGCCCAGCAGTTCATTCCCAAGAGGACAAGAACCGGCATCGAACGAGCCGCCCGAACCTTGCCTCTCTCCTCGAATTCCACATCCATCTACGTACCGTCGCATTTTGTTGTCAATACCTGGACTCTCCACCCATTGCCAGTTCCTCCGTCCATCGAAGCGCGACTCGGCATCTCTTTCAAGGCTGTCCTTGTTCTGCCTTCCATCGTTCGTCGTCCCTCGTCCTTGGCTTGGCGGCCTTTTGCCCCCCTTCTGGTCCTTCGTCCACGGTCCTTTGGTCCTTGCTCCACCCGCCTAGCGTCTCCTGAGCCCCACACCCCTCCCAACTTCTGGCAACTGCACCTTTTCCCGCCTGGCACCCCCCAGTCCACCGCCCCACCCAATACCGCAAAAGACCGTGGTGTCCCGTCTTAGGCTGCTGCTTCTGGCTTGCAGTGTACCTAGGCAGTCTGCTGCTGCGCTAACCGTAGCCTTCGCCCCCCTCCCACTCATTCGTCACTCCTCCCTCCTCCACGACCACGCCCAGTCTTTCCTTCTTTTGCGCTTGTCAGAATCCGGAGACAGCGAAAAGGAGCCCTGTCCGCCTTCGAACCGATCAAACTCCCCAACCTGTTTCAGCTTCGCTCCAACAGCATCTTCGCATCCTCTCTTTGTCGAACAGCTTCCCCCTTGCTGCCTCCCCGAAAAAAAAAACCTACCGTCGTTAAGGGAAACCTAAACTCTTCAGCTCGTCAACTTCCTCCCTTTTCCCTCTCTTTCCTGTAATCTTCTCTTTGAGCTTTTGCGCCTGGCTTGTTATTCGAATTTCCCGCCGACGGGGCCTCCCTCGCTATATCCACTCGCTTTGTTATCCCTTGGCCAGAGCCAGACCCCAAAAAGAACGAGTCTTGTCCCATCCGACCGTCGTTTTCCGACCGCCGACGCCTGCCCGCTGTGCCGTCGTACACTCAAATTGACCCCAATCCGACGCACACAACCACACCCCCCAGCCCCCTTCCCTCCACGACGCCTTCCCACCACTATTACGCATCATCCCATATCGACTCCTCCCGGGGAGTCGCCAACACCGTCGACCTGGCTACAAGGCTAGATTCCCGCCGCTCTTTGCTCGGCGGCGACCCAAACTTTGCAGGCTTCGACCAAGAAGCTGCGGCACGACAGTACGCTCAGCAATACCAACAACAATACCAGCAGCAATACAACCCCCCGCTCGCATCCAATAACCAAGGCTACGCCTTTCGCGAAGGTCTTGCTCCCTCCACGATGAACGGCTCGCGTCCCAGCAGCGGTGCGAGTGGCCCGCTCGGCTTTGGCTTCATGGGTGTCAAGTGGCCGAGGATCTTCTTCCTCATCACTCTCGTCCAGGCCATGATCTGCCTGGCCTTCGAGTGGTAAGTTGCCAATCATTGCAGACGGCCCTGTCTCATGCTGCTCGATACTAACTGCCTCGCAGCTACGTCTTTTGGAAATTCCAGACCGGCTTGACCGATCAGGACACTAATGAAGCGGCGGATGCGAACACCGACTCGCCAAGACGCACAATCCCGACGTTCTTGACGCTCTTCATCTTCGGTTTCTTGTACGAACTGGTCATCGTCTGGGACGCCTTGCGAGCGAAGAACACGATTCAAGTTATTGGCGTGTGCATTGCCAACCTCGCACTGATGGTTTACACTGCTATTCAGGTCGAACAGATTGAGGAGGCGTTGGACCAGTTGAAGGTCAACGGATCCCTCAAGAACCCGAAAGACGACATGTGGGCGGACGTCAAGCCCTATCTAGTTGCCATCCCCTGTATCCTAGGCTTTTGTACCATTGCCATGGCCTTTACTGCCTGGAAGCTCTACCAAGTCTTCGCTTGGGATATTCTTAAGACGATAGGAGCCGACTACAGGATGAAGAAGCGTTTCCTCCACTACCAGGTATGCGTTTTCAGCAATCTGCGACGCCTGCCGCTTGTATACTGACTGAACCCAGATTTATATCGCACTTCTGAAGTTCGATTTCTTCTTTTTCCTTGGGTTTACCGTTCAGTTCTTGGTTATTGTCACCCTCAAAACCGACACCGAATTCGGATTGACGATTGCCGCTGTCCCCATCACCATCGCCATTTTGCTTCTGGCAGCTTGGTTCACCAGGATCGAAAACAAAGTCGGCATGGGCACTGTTATCGTTCTCTATCTCGGCGGTCTGACGTACTTCCTCTATAAGCTCGTCCGCATTTACCAGCCACGCACGGAAGAACAGTACAGGGCGGTGCGTAAATCGCTCACTGCCTTTGCTGTCATCACCATCCTCCTCATCATTTGCACCATCGCCAACTGCATCATCTGCATGCGCAACTTCGGCGCCGGCCTAAAGAACCACCTCCGGAAGCCGTCCCGGGACCTCGAGAAGAACCCGGACCTGAATTCTATCAACCTGCAAGATGTCAAGCCACAGATTGCGAGCAGAATGACGATCGATTAAGGAAGGGGTGGAGCTGGCTTGACCCGACGAGGCAAACGCACGATCAAAAGAGATACCGCTCGATTGTACAAAGAAATGACTTACGACACAATGCCACCTTTCTTACCCAAAACCCACCATGGGATTGTGGACGGACGGATGGTGAACACGCGGGACCGGGCGCGTGTTGGACTGCTTGAGATTCCCCATCACCGGCTCTTTTTTTCTTCTTTTTCTTCCTTTTCTTGTGTGGCACACAATGTATGGCGTTGACGATGCCTGCTCTCTCTACCTATCTGGGGGATGAAGACTGGCCCAAAGGCGGAGTTCTGGACATGTTTCTACGTAAAGTCGCGCTGGCGACCAGGTCCTTACCCAGGACAACATGATGACTTCGGGAGCAGCGAAAGGGGCTGATTAGCCTTTGTACGCATTGCATGCTGTCGAGGTCAGCGATTTGCTTTAGAAGTTTCCTTAGTGTAACCTAGCGTCAGCATGAGGTAATTCAATACCATTGATGAAGACAGCTTCCTTGAATGTATCTATGGCTGAGTCAGTTCTTTCTGCCTCAATATAATTAAAACGTGAGTGGCCTGCAAAGGTAATGATGCGTTAGTGACCCTTCCGTGGTCGATTGTTCCGTTGCACACGTCCGTTGCCATCCCGGATGTCCCGGTGCCGTTCCTGTCTTTCCCGTCTGTCCGGGCTGTACCTCCGACCCAGACATCCGAGCCAACAACTATAGCCCGCTAGCTTAACATTATGGAGCAAACCAAGGGGAAGCTCACACAGTCTCCAGGGAGAGCTTCTCAGCAGAGTTGTACTTGTATTTCCGTTCCACTCTTCGCTATTCTGAACAATAACCAGATTCGCTGTCCCCGACACCCGTGACCCAAACTGAGGCCCTCCAAAGAGAGAGAGAGAGGAAAGAATGCCTGCCGTGCCGTCCCACAGAAACAACAAACAAGAAGAAGAACTCCCAAACCATGATCCCGTTGCCCGTGAAAACGCCTTTGTGCCCAACCCTACACACCCGAGGGCCATGCCTACATTGCACCACCTATTCCCGACAGCCTGTCATAAAATAAGAGACTATTTGTTCTAGAAGGCGTCTTCGATGACTGATATCGTCCTCTTGCTCCAGCTCAAAGGATCCGAACTCGTCCTACAGCTTGATCTCCCGAGCGTCCTTGATGTGGCCCTCGTTGGGACAGTACGGGCACTTGAAGCGGGATCCCTTAGTCAGACGCTGCAGCGACTCTTTGCAGATGACGTGGCCGCACGGCAACATCATAGGCGGGTTCTGCTCCGTCGTCTGCTCCTTGCTGACAGGGCAGACGAAGATGGGGTGGTAGATCATGCTGCGGGGCAGGGGCGTCTCGAAAGCGAGTTCGTTCTCCGTTGTCCACTCGGTGCGCTTGGCCTTCATGTAGGTGGTGTACTTGATGAGCTGCGGCAGGGCAATGGCGCCCGCCGTGGCGGCGACGTAGAGGGGCGACTCGGCGGACAGGCCGAGCAGGGAGCAGAACTCGCGCGTAAAGGAAAGGGCGACGTCGTCAAAGGCGGCCGAGGTATCGAAGACGTTTGCGTAGGGCGACTGGCCGATGTTGGATGCGTACACCATGGCGCACGACAGCTGCTGGATCTCCTTGAGGTGGCGAGCCTGGAAGCGGCCGAAACTGGCCTGCGCGTAGGCGAGGGCTCCCGTACGGCCGTTGCGAGCGTCGTCGGGGAGACCGTTGATCTCGGGACCCTTGAAGAGCCAGACGAACTGAAGTTTGCTGAGCTCAAACTCCAGGTTGGAGCCGCGGGCCTCGAGCTCATCGCCGTTGAGCCGCGCCCATTCGATAGCGGGGACGAGGTTCCTATTCTTGAGCTCGTGCAGGATCTCGTACATGTTGGCGAATTTGTCCTGGAGCTCCTGGGACTGCAGCGAGTGTATGTCGGTATCGAGGGCGGGGTGGTTCGGGGAGGAAGGGGGAGGCCGCTCGTGGGCTTCACGGAGGAAGGTCGAGGCCACGCTGAACTGGCCCTCGCGCAGCATGTGCATGGCGACGGCGCGGTTGATCAGGGAGGGATATGAGGCCATCGCATCGTAATCTGTCGAGAGGGGTCGCTGGGGAAAGGACTGGGGGAAAGGTGTGTGTTAGTCGGGGGGTTTCATCCCGTGTCTTTCGGGCTAGCCGGGCGCTTACCTTGTCGAGGGCTTTGCCAAAGGTCTTTTGTGCTTTTGATACTTCCTTCAAGTCATTGTTAATTGCCTCGAAGCCTGCGTTGACTGGATTCTGAAGCTTGGTCATGGTCAAGCTCGCGCGGTGCGGATCGGACGCTGTGAATCCAAGAACAATTGGTGAGCACACGACCAGCAGCATCATCACGGCGGGGCGAGTGACATACCATTGGCGATTTGCTCTCTCGCCTGAACGAGCAGGTCGAGGAGCTTGTCGGCGTCACTGACGGCCGAGTTGAGTGTCGCTTTGCGGAAACGAGAGAGCTCCGCCTGGAGCGTCATCATGGGGTTTTGTTCCGCCATGGTGGTGGCGGGGGTTTTGGAGTGCGGTTGCTTGGTATGTCGTGCTAAGTGTATTGTATGCTGTTGGTGTTGCGTGTAGCTCAAATGTCGGGGATTATGACAGACGGGTCATCGCTACGAGCCCTCCGGGGAAGCTCAAATCGTCAGTGAGGGGGTGGGAAGTCGTCTTCACTGTAGGGAAGTGAGAATCCGCGTATGTTCAGTGATCTAATGGTTCCTGCTGCGTTTGGTAGTTGAAGGTTGGGGTTGAGGTCGGCACAGACACACGGGTGTCACCGATAGCGCGATAGCGGAACGCTTCCTCGGCTGATAAAGCGTCAGGCGTGCAAACTGCTGCAGACCGCTAAGGTGGCACACAGTGCTGCGACCGCTGCCAAACCAGGGAACGCATCGAACTGCCGGCGAAACAGCGGCCCGGAAGACGGTAAGCGTTTAGCGGTGGGGGCCCTGGAAGAACAGGGGAAGAGGTTAGACTTACCGTAGCTTGGGGCAGATCGGGGTCATCGCGGAGATGGGGAACCATTAGCGTCCACCGCTTGACTTTGTGCTACCCTTCCAGCGAAGTGTTGGTGCAGCTGCCGGCCCAATCAACTAAGCCACGACAGCGAAGGGACATTGCGTCACATGCCGGCCAGCCTCCGAAAGGGCGGACACAAGAGACACAGCGAGAGATCGAGACGGGAGAACGATCGAGACAGCGACAGCGACTCAACTCCAACGGTTCCCGGGCAAGTCACATGCAGGACAGATTAACGCCAACTTTTTCTTGATTTCCCACCGCCCCTTTTAATTGCGACCGTACCCCAAGAAACGACAACCCACCACAGGCGATCGATTACGACGACTATGCCTTCGTCCTCCTGCAGATAGTCGCTGCGTTGTTGTAGGCACTCTCAAAAGTGTCACCGCCCACCGCGCGCTTCCGCAAATGGAGATGGCATTCCGCTTCCCTTTTCCGGTCAACGATCCGCGTATGCACCGCGAGGAGGAGCTGACTCTGGCGAGAGTTGCGTCCCAGCGTGGGGGCAACCGGCCGTCTCCTCTAGACACTCCTTTACCGCCCGATGCGCGAAAGGAGGCCTCCACCGAGCCCGCGACGCCGTCTCCCTTACCGCCCGCGAGGAGGAAATGGGTCTTTGCCGACCCAGTGGCTTTTAGGCAAGTGTTTTGGACATTGCATCTGTATGATTCATTGCGCTGACTGCTTTTCCCCCTACGAACAGGTACCTAGAAAGCGATCCGTCCGTCACTGTCCTCGAGCGAAGGGGGGTGTTGCAAGGTTACGAGCTATACTTGGTCGAACAATGGGCGTGCTCACGAAAGTCACCGACGCTGGTTATCGTCACATACACGGGTGACCCGAAGCACTCGGTCGTCGTCGGGGTGCTGGCCGTCCCAGCAGACGAGAGCATATGGTCTGACCGCCTACGATTCTACTTCAAAGCCATCCACCAGTACCATGCACGGCCAAAGGAAACGCCATTGGGCGACGTGATGGTCACGAACCTCAGCAGCTTCCCGTCGGCTCTGACAGTCATACCCGTCCCCGAGGGCGACATCCGCACCCATCGCCAGGCCTTCATCGTCAACGAGAATCTCAAGCGGCTGGGATGCTCTGGGCGATCTGGCATGAATCTTTCAGACCCCACTCCCGCGACTCAGGCCAAATTTTACCAGCTCTACAGAACCAGCGAGAAGGTCCCCTTTGCACAGTCGGTAGTGGAACTAGTCAAACTGTGCCAAGTGTCCCTGTTCATGTTCGGCAAGCTGGACATGGAGTATATCGACGGTCTGTTATGCGACAAGACGGAAGAGTCCATCGGGAATTGGTGGACAGAGATTGGTGCTGAATGCTACAACGTCGAGCCGACAGATGGTATCCTGGGGCCGACGACTGTGGCAGCGTTGTTGGGATTGTTGATGGGTGCCAGGAACCGGCTGCACTACTACGGTGCACCAGTCTCCAAGGATGTCTTTGATATCGAAAGCACGAAAAGGGGTATCGGTTACTTCCAGAAAGCATACAAGCTTGAGCGGACCAGGCGGCTGGATCGCCAAACTATTCTCAAACTCCATGCCGTCACGGCGAAAGCAGCTGCTGGCGAAGGATGGGGCGTGCAAAAGGCGGTCAAGTCGACCGTTGCTGAAATTGGCGGTAAAAGAGGCGAGCTTGTCATTGGCATGGTCGGCGGGAAAGACAAAGCCGGCATAGCTGACATCGAGACTGTCGACATTGATAAGTTCGTCGCCCTGGCGTACGGTGAGCGTGCAAAGTGGCTCTGGTACGGGAAGCCCAGGAGAGCGGCACCAGAGCTTCAGGAGAAGCCAACGGACGTGGCGCAGCCACTGTTCGGAAAGGATGAGGTCGCCCTGCCGTCAAGCAAACGAACGCAATCGTTGCCACTGGAAGAGGAACTCCACCGACAAAAGGAAGAGTCACCTGGTGTTTATTCGACTCCGGCGCCTGCTTCGGCTGTAAGTATGGTCGATAACCCAGCAGAGAAGGATGCCCTTAGGAAAACAGTCTTCAAATCCGTCGCCGGCAGAGTGAGCGACGCCAAATCCGGGCTCGGTCGCATCAAAGACGTCGTTGGTACCGGCCTGAGGGGTCACACGAGTCGTCCTAGTAGAGACGACTTTGGAGAGAATGGGTACCACAGCTCGCCCGGCGTCTCGGCCTTGGCGCAGTCCTCGGCCAATTTGTCATCTCCGGTCATGGTTGGTAGGGCCTTCACGTGGAAGAACAAGCCGGAGGAGTACCTAACTGCCTTCAAGAAAGAGGCAGAGGCCGCGCAGGAGTTGCGGGAGTCGTCACAAGAACTCGAAAATGTGCCGGTGGTAGCCAAGCCAACACTCGAAGCATTAGACCCCAGCTCGGCACATGGTGAAGGCGAATTCTCGACACCTCCTAACGGATCGGTGAAAGACGGCCTTGATCGGGTTCAGACGTCGGTGGCTGGGTCTGTGATTGACGAAGCTGATTTGCATGGTCCCTTCGAAGCGGAGAGGACAGGCAACACTGCCTTGAGCTTCCTCCAACGTCGGCACAGCATCGCCGTCTCGAGGCTCTCATACAAGCATCCTCTGAACGAAGCTCGCTGGCCCCGACGACTGTCTTTTGGAGATGCAGAAGAGGGAGTCTTGCGATGGGAGGAAATCACCGAGCTATACGACGACAGGCACTTTTCAACAGCCGATGCCTTGCAGCAACAAGCCAGTATGGCCGAGTTCGCCCGCAGCCTGTACGACTCCATCGCGACCATCAAGCGCGAGGTCAATCCGTGGGTCGAATCCAAGGTCAAGGCAGTGGACTCCCTGGACGAGCACTACGGCCGCGAGCAGGAGGACCTCCAGAATCTCTATTATCAGCTCAGCGAGGCATATCACCGAGTCAAGCAGAGCTCTACGGAGCTCATCGCTGAGGAGCGGGCGCACATCACCGAGGCGATTAAGGAGGTCGAGGTGCTTGTGGCGCGGCTCGAGTACGAAATCAACGGTCTCGTGAGCAAGGTGGATGATGTTGAAGACGGTGTCAGGCTCTTCGAGAGACAGGTCGAGGACGTGGAGAAGCGCGCCGAGGAGCTCAAGACGACGCTCGAGACGGAGAGCTGGGCGCACTGGTTCGTCCGGACGCTGACGGGGATCGGTACGGGGCCCAACATCACGAGAGGGGCGTAAAAAGACTGGAGAAAGAAGGCAAGTGGTCTTCAAGCTGCATAGCGTGGTTCATTTTTATTGTTCGCATCGGGAAAATACCCAGCAAGGATTACTTGTACATCTTCGTTTCGGAAAAGGCTACAAGATGTTATTGTTCATTCGGGGCATAGGAATATATGCACTTTGCCAATCGAGGCCGACAGTTGCTTCTAGGGGGAAATATAAGTAATGTTTTGACCACTCTGGGGGCGTTGAGAATGCAGTGCAAAAAAAGGGCTTAGTAGTCGGGTCGCTGAGGGATCCCGAGTGCTCAAAAGGGGAAGGCCAGGATGCATGGCAGGGGTCTGTGTATTGCATTACTTTATCATAAGTCGGAGAGACGAGCGGGCGACTGGCAAGCACACTTGGCCCTTGGGGTCAGCATGCCTTCAGGATCATTTGCCGCCATAGGATCAAGAAGAACGCCAGACGACTCAAGATCGTGGTGGCTTGATGGCTTGGTGACGCCCAGACGCCCAGTAACGGTTGATGGTTTTGGCAGAGCGAAACGCTTCACTAGATGTTGAACAACTGGCTCCCTACCCAGACACATAGCATCTTGGCTTTGTTTCCTGTTAATGAAGTTGCTCGTGGAAGCCTGCTGTTTCCGTTGATGACAGTGACATGAAAACTGGTTAAGGCATTGTTGAAGACTTGACTTTGCAGATATCTATGACCTTCACAGCTAAGTGATTGGGGCTAGTTGAGCAACTTGACGTATCTGAGTAGTGTGCAGGTCGCGTTCTATTGCCTGACAAGATGTTCGCTCCTTTCTGTGACTTCTACGGATATGTCACTGGGACTAGGAACCAACGCTTCAATGCGATCCAAGTTCGACCTAGCCAAGACAAAACATATCGTTGCAGACAAAGAAAACAAAGCCATGTTTCCAACTTCCAGTCTCTGCTATTGACCAACGGGCTCTACAAGTTGTGTCACGAGCTGCTTAAGGGGTTGCTTTGCAGAGCTGCATGACGGTGATTTCTGCCCGTGAGCCAGGTAGTCTGTTTGTGTGCCATCAGTAGCGGGATGTATTACATGAATAACTTGTATGCCATCGAATGCTAGCAAACCCTATCGACCCCCATTTACCAAAAAGCAGCGTTTGCTGCTTGGTGTTCTTGGTGTTCTTGGTGTTCGTCGCATCTATCTTTTAGCCTAAATAACGACATTAGAAACCATAAATTCGGGGTAAGGATGGAATAGAGATAGAGTTATGCTTTTTTGGTACTTGATTGAATAGGGGCAGCACGGATATCAGCACTGGATATCTGACGACACAACAATTTTGCCCACATCCATACTAAAAAGGTAGCTTCTGCGACTAAGACCAGTCTGTCTTGTAGCAGTTTCTCGGTCACAGCAAGAAACCACTCGGCTGGTGCGGCCTCCGCTAGGTTCAAATCTGCGGTAGGCCCGTGGACTTTCGCAAAACGGCCGTTGTCGCCGCTTATGCGCAGCACCTTGGAAACCGGCCAGTAGGAATTTCGTATTGGTCTGATCTAGAATCCAGCACATCGAGTCCTTTCGTCTGGCTGTTGCATTGGCCAGAGGGGCCAAGATACTTCCCGTTCGTAGATCGCCAGTCAGTAAAAATGGTATCGCCATGCTGTTAGCCCGCCTGGCTGGAAAGCTAGTCCTTCCAAACATCCCGACGATAATATCAACAGAATTGTTGAAACTTGGCTAAAAGAATTATGTCTTAAATCCGCTCTCTAATTAACATACGGAACTCGAGGATCGAAGAGGGTTGTAAGGCCTTTTAGGTTCATTTTCAGCAAAGAGTAAGTATATAAGTGCTCTGCGGCTGCTCCGCCATCACATATCGTCAAACATTTATTACTTTATTTCCAGACCGAAAAAAAACACGCTCTTTGGACCTTCACTATGTTGTTTGATTCTGCATACAAAAAGTGGATATTCGCTGCTGTTGCTTAGGAAGAGGAACGAGTGAAGAGACTACAAATATGAGCTTAATCGATACTATCGAACAATATAAAATTCTCGATAGTGGACTTTCCCACCTTGCTAGGGCATATCGTACTGTTCGAGCCGTTCGGATTCTCAGGCACTGGTCATGGTCCTCAATGAATACTATGCAGGTAACGGTAACCACTTCCCTGGCCGAGTAGACCGATGGTATTTGAAAATCGATGTAATGGAAAACAAGACTAGCCTGACTGTACGACTACCGTAAGCTTCGATAGCCTATATCTACTTGACTTTCGCGTTTGTACTCCGATTTACAGCAAGCAATGCAGTAGAGGACGTTGTCACATAGCAGTTCATTTACAGTGTGACCCAAAAGTCTGAGATCACCCCGGCTAACACCAACCACCTACATGATCACCTCATCACTTCAACTGGCCAGAAAGCCATCAGTTTTTTATTTGTATGGTAACAAGATAGTAAATTAAAGATCCGAATTTACTAATAAGTATCGTGTATACCCGCCCTGTGCGTGAGTAACTGCTTCGAGGCGACGCAGTAGTGACTCGACTATGGCCTGAACTTTCTCCCAAGGGATAGCTTCCCACGCCGCAGTCAATTACTCCTTAAATATCCCAATACCTAGCTCGCTTCTCCTCAAGTCAGATGCTTCTAGGTATAGTCTTCTCAGGATATCCTGCGTTATCCGCTAAACATGCTTAAATTAGGTTTAGGCTCAGTAAGTAAATGTCACGACGACGAATTCTGGCCTGGTTGGCACACAGCTGTATTGCCTATTTGCGAAGATTTCAAGGCGAAGAAGGGAAAAACTTTATAGCAAAGCTGGGCAGATTTCAAAGTGGGCTATGTTTAACATACCACACTGTATCCCAAATCCTGTTTTCTCTATCACATGGTCATCGTAACCCCGGTTTTCCCATTAACCATCCATCCTGGACCAATCCCAAACCTCCAGCCCAACGCCGCCAACAACAACCTTCCCGTCCCCAATGACCTCGACGTCACCGGCGTCCGCGACGCCGCTGTACTCGTCCGCGACGAGCGTGACCTCCTCGACGCCTCCGCGCCACGTAAGCTTCCACATCTTGACCCGCTGGTCGTTGCTCGCCGTTGCCAAGACCACTTCCTTGTTGTCCTCCGTCGCTCTCAGGACCGTAAGCCCGTTGATGGCCGCCGCGTGGGCCTTCCTAACACCCGCCCTGGCTACCGGCGCAAAGCCGCCGTCGGCTGACAAGTCGAGCGTCGTGATGCCCAGCGCGTTGTCGTCGCCTCCTGTAAGAATTACGACCTTGTCCGCAGACGAAGAATGTACGTCGAGAGCTTTGACGCTGCTCTGGTGAACCCGCGCTGTGTGCCGGAGGACATACTCAGCCCCCGCCGACCGCCAGACGGCAAGGCACCCGTCCGTCGCGGCAGTGACGACGTCAAACACCCCGTCCCTGACTCGGAGATGCCGTGCCTGCGTCAGACACGCCCCGGTATACTGCCCCTTGAACAGGAGCTCGAAGCCGTCGTCGGCCGTATACCGATACGTCTTGACAAACGAGTTCGAGAACGCCATCGTAATGGCGGCGGCCCCGTCTTCCAACCTCTCGACGTCGAAGCTCGTGATTCTGAGATCCCCGTCCGCGCTCCTGTCCGCAAACACCGCCTCGCGCATGAGACCCAGCCCGGCCACGTCGCCGAGGTCGGTCGCCCGCCAGACCATGAACTCCTCGTTGCCGCTGCAGCTGAAGAGCAGCTCCTCGCCGAGCCACCTGAGGGACTGCAGACCGGCGGTGTGCACCTTAATGACCTTGACGCAGCGTAGTTCCCGTCTCGATGATGACTCCGGGACGGCGGCGTACTCCCAGATGCGAATCGCCGTGTCCTCGGCGCCCGTAGCAATGTATCGACGCCCAGAGTACGCAATGGTGCGGACCTCGCGCCCGTGCGAGCCGCGCTTGAGGGTGCGGTGGTTGACGACGGCGGCGGAGGCGTGCGGCTGCACGTAGACGCCCAGTGTAGCGGCCTTGTTGAAGACGAAGCGCAGGCCGCCGCCCCTTCCGCCAACTTGCGGGGTGTAGGCGAAGGCGCGGTGCGCGCCGCCGCAGTCGACGCGGAGGAGCTCCTCGTGACGCGTCTCGTTCCAGACGATGAAGTTCTTGCTGCGGAAGCCGCAGAGGATGAGGTCTGTTTCGGCGAGCCAGGCGTCTTCGAGGTTGGGGACTGCGGTAGGGGCCGTCTCGTGGCGGAGGCGGATGGGGGACGAGGAGGCTGCGGGGGAGACTTCGTAGATGCGGTAGTTCCCGTCGCGGCTTGTCGTGATGATGTGAGATGTTGCAGAACAAGAGGACGAGGTCGGGAGGGGGTTGATGGAGGTTATGGCGTCGTTGGTACGCCTGTCCGGCGCTGCGAGCGTGCTGAGCTGGCCGTCGGTGCGGCGGAAGACGGACATGTAACCGTGGCGGGAGCCGAGGAAGAGGAGGTCGTTCACCTGGCAGGCGGCCGTGACGACGAACCTGCTATCAAGCTCGGGAACCGGGACCATGGAGGTTATCGTGAGAGTCTCGAGGTCCAGTGTCAGAATTTGCATGGCCTCCTCGCCTCCCAGCATGGTGACGAGGAACTCTAGCTTCGACGCCCCTGAAGCGTCGCTCAAGCAAAAGATGTCGGCAATCTTTCCAGGCACCGTACCAATCTGCTGGATGGCCGAGTCCTTGTAGAGGAAAACCCTCTTGCTCGCCGTGCCCAGCAGCGCCACACCGGGCGCCGGGCTCTTCAAGCTCGTGCAAGCCCTCAGCGACTGCAGCGTCTCCGCATCGGTCCCGACCTCGGACCACGTCAGCTCCGCCCCGAACGTGCCGACTAGGAGACGGCCGGTGGTGCTCGTCGCGAGCAGGGCTTCCCTAGAGATGAATGCGAACCGGTGGAACGCCTCCTTCACCTCCGACGGGATCGCAAAGTCGGGGTTCCGGGCCGGCAGCTTGCCGATCACGTCCCGCATCACCAAAGTGCGCAGCTCGCTCGGCAGGTCCTTCACGTTGGACATCCCATCACTAACCGTGCGCGAGCGGTCCGAGAGGAGGTTGATCTTACTATCGGCCCCGCCAGTGGCAACCACCACCTCGCCGCCAGCCGTCTCCGTGAGCGCCGTGGCCCAGATATGCTTGCCGTCGTGGCGGGCGTACGTCTCCGTATGCGTGATCTTGGCCCCGACTTGGACCTCATCCGCGGTCGCAGGGGTAAGCGACCTCCGCCGCCACTGTTCGACGTTGATCTCTAGGGACCAGGTTTGCAATGTTGAGTCCTCACCAAAGGAGTACACCGTTGTGGCCGAACCTCGGGCCAGCTCACCCAACGTCTGCGGGAACCTGACGTGCCAGATGCGCGAGATGTGGCCCATGGCCATGGCCAGGGGTGCGCTGGACGCGACCTGCGTCGCAGTGAGATCCGCGGCTGCCGCGGCTGCTGCTGCGGCCGCACCACCAAACCCTGTCTCCCGAGCTTCGCCAAAGGCATCATACTGCAACCGCGGCGCCTCGGGCCTCTCAGTGATATCCCAGATTCGTATCGTCCTGTCGTCGCTGCAACTGGCTAGCAGTCTCGCCTTCCTGCCGTTCCCGATGTCGACCTCGGAGGAGATGTCCACGCCAAAGATGGAGCCCTCGTGACCGGTGAACACGAACAAGACCTCGCTCCACGGCTTCTTTTCCGGCTCCGCCATATCGCCGGAGAAGTGGCATTTCCAGACAATGATTTCACCAAAGACGGTGCCCCCGGCTACGAGCACCGAGGTCTCTGATATCCAGGTGAGGTTTGCCGAGTACAAGATCGGCCGCGAGGGCGAGATGATGCGACCGAACTCGAGCGCTCTGCCGTCATCTCCGATGAAAAACTCGAGGACTTCGTTGTGCGCCGTGACGAGTACACCGCGGCCCGGCTCCTTGGGCGAGATGACGCCGTCGTAGATCCAGTCCGGCGCCTTAGCCTCCACAATGTCCAGCGGCGTCGAGGGCTCATCCTTTTTTCCATCGCGAAGGATGAGCTCCTCAACAACGCTGGCGGGGATCACAGTCACCGCTTGGTTTCCCCAGAGGAGCACATGCCGCCGTTGCTGGCTGTCCTCTCCGCCGGCACTGACGTGAATGCCATGAATGGGCTGGGCGCGGAAGATCTTGAGCTGGCCGCGCAGCCGCCCTTCAGTGTCGTAGATTTTCAGCTCCGAGTCCTCACCGGCGAGGATATACGTCTCATGGTCTTTAGCTTTGAAGAAGCTGAGGCCGGTGACCGGGGTGAGGTAGTGGTCCCGCCGTAGGGGCCGGGCTACGGATGACTGCGTTTGTTCCTCAGTCAGCTAGTCCATTTCTCGGGCTCTCTCATAGAAGACCGAAAACCCATTTGAGAATTCAAGAGTGGCCTCAATTACTAACTGCATGGATGGTTTGGTTCATGGGGAAGAGCGGGCAGCCGCCGAACTAGGCCTGCCCAAGTCAGGTATTATCTGACTCTCAAAGTCTCAACACAGGGGTTGTCTTAGCCTCTGGGGGAGTGAATGGCACAAGTGAGCGCGTTTCTTGTGAAAAGGTTGCCTAGGGACCCAGGATCATGATGCTAGTTCTTTGCGGCTGAGCTGAGCTGGTGTAGAAGAGGGCATCCTCCGTCAGCAACAGGATGCATGTAGTTGGGTGTATGTGGTGGATCGAGTCATCCGACCCCTCTGTCGCCTAGTGGAGTTTTTTTTTTCTCCTTCGGTGTGGTTTTGAGAGAAAATTTGAGGCATTCCTTCGACAGTGCCAATAACCGCAAGAATGCACGTTGTGGAAGGTTGTCCCGCCCCAACCACACCAGATAGATGGATGCATGTCACGATTCAATTCATGGCGAAGCTGTCACATGAAACGCACGTTTTTGCAAGACGACACAAGCAAGTGTTGTAAAACTCTAGTATGTTTTTGATTGCTTTAATAAGCACGTTTGAAGTCTATAGACAATAAAGCCTGGAAGGGTATCTCCAAATCCACGGGAATCCCTCAAATCCATTGCAATCGTCATCACCCCCCCCTGACGATCTTCTCCTCCGTCGCCAGAATAAACATTCATGTCCACCTCTGTGCGTGTCGTTCGTCCTCATGAGAGTGAGCCGTTACCCAACGCCAACAATGCCGAAATGAGTAGAATAAAAGGAAAAGTTGCCAGATTCATAAACAACCCAAGCTTTGCGCAGCGGTTATCGCCATATTACAAAGGCCTTAGAACTTAAGAACGGTGGGAGTAAGGCTCGTAGGCCATGTCCCCACGGGCGCCGCTGGCGTAGCGGGGAGCACCGTACTGAGCGGCCTGCTGCTGCTTGTAGTAACCGTTCTCCTCTTGGATGGGCTGGTAGGTGGCGGCCTGGGGCAGGAGCTTCTCGCCGTCGCTGTTGCGCTTGGCCTTCTTGGTGTGGTTGGGGGCGCAGCAGCAGATGGTGAACATCCAGAAGAAGCCGGCGCCGAGAGCCATGGCGGCAGAGATCCAGACGAGGGCGAGGAAGCTGTTGTTGAAGCCTGCAGAGACGCCGTAGAACTTGGCGGTGCCCTCGACGGCGCCGACAACGATAACGGACATGGCGGTAGACAGAGCAGCGGAGGCGCAGACGGCGAGAGAAGCGACCGAGGCGACGAGGAAGGTGATGCATGACATGGCGCGGGTGCAGTTGGCAAAGATGCCAAAGACGATCTCGAGACCCAGAGCAATGAAGGCGATGATGTAGGCAACCTGGGTCCACTTGGTGGCCGTCTTGAAGGCGGAGAGAGCAGTCGTCACCTCATCGGGGAGCTCAATCTTGCGGCCGGCAGCAGTGCCAATGGTCTCAAGGGTCGAGGTGTTGAGGTAGTCGGCAGCCCAGTCGAACTTGGCCTTGGTGCAGGTCTTGTCGCCGTTGGTGTCGGTGGTGCAGTAGCCCCAGAGAGCAATGTCGTAGAGGTTGCCCAGGCCGAGGTCGGCAGCAGTGATGTTGCTCGTCTGGGTGCCATCGGTGGCAGCCTTGGTGATGGTGTTGTCGCCGTCGGCGGTAAGCAGAGAGCGGTCGTGGTAGCTGCCAAAGTTGACGGCGTTGACGTCTCGGGAAACTATACTTGATACCGAGGCAGGGTTGATCTCCAAGTCTGTAAGGTTGACGCGGAACATGTACAGGTCCTTGTTGGAGACGCCACCGAGGGCGGCCACCAGAAGGAAAATGAGAGAGCCGACAGTGAGGATGAACGGCAGAGCCACGCAGATAACCCGACCGACGCCCATTTTTGCTATCTTGGTGCTGTAGTGTTCCTAGGATCTGATCGGAGAGTCGAGAAGTTGTGGTTGTTTAGAGATAGGCCGATTCCGGTAAGTGGGTCGTCGGGGTATCTTCAACGAAAGTGTCCAAGAAAGAAACGGTCGCTGGTAGATGGAGCAAAAGAGGAGGGATGGGTAGCGAAGGAGCAAAGGGCGGTGATGAGGGACCCTTTAAGAGGATTGTATAGGTTAGAGAGGCAAACGGATATGGGGGTGATGAGTGTGAGAGGCAAGAGGCTGACACAAGACGGACGAGCGCCGATGTTTATAAAACAGACGAGGACGGAGCAGTTGCGAGGAGCGGTTACGTACTTTGGCTGTAAGGTACAGTACGTGCAAGAAGGCGCAGGGCAGCAGCAGCAGCAGCAGCAGCAGCAGGTTGGGGGTGGGACAGCGAACGGGACATGGACAGGGACGTGGACGTGGCGCAGTACCGAGTACATGCGCGCAGCAACGAATTTTTTTGGTGGAGATGGGACGGATGGGATGCGCAGCTCTACGCAGTTGGCTGTCCACTACCTACGCAGCTGGAGCACCGCGCGGTGATGCGCAGCACCGCACCTGGGTGAGTGAGCTTGGAGCGAGTGGGCGGGAGAGAGACACCGGGTGAGCTCAGCCTGCGGCAGACGGGTCCCCGGTATGGGCAAAAGCAAGACTCGCAAGGTACCCGGGTACCTCGACTTGCCTCCTCCCGTCAACCTTCTCTTGGGCTGCTGCACTACCGTATAGGTTACCATGTAGGTACTACTGTTGGCTGGCTGGCGCTGCCGAAGTCGATATTGCGTTGCTGACGGGCTGCAGTCCGCCTCCACACAACTAAGTACCTAGCGGCCACGACTCAGCCCCCGCTCCTCCTGGGAACACCCATGACCCCTGGAGGATCCCTCGACCGAGCAACGGCGTTGAGAGGCAGAAGAAGCCTGAGCCAGTGACAAGAGCCAGCGAGAAAGGTGGTGCGGGGTGGACTCAAACACTCTCTCATCCTTGGTGATTCCCTCCCACATGCCGTGCGAGAACACAGCACGGAACGCAACGCCCGAATCATCACCCATGCCCGTACGTATCAGTAAGGCACTCTAAATGCCGTCTTGGCTTTGGGTCCTGGAGATGACCGATGCAGCGCCTATTCCGCAATCTGCTGGTAACGTCCGGAAAGGTGACAAGCCTCGACGGACGATGGGGATTCCAGAGAGACGGGAGAGCATGGGCACAAAGTCCTGGCTACGGAGGATGCTGACACTGGCAAGGGATATCCATCCGTAGGGCAGAGAGGACTGGTGACGCCAGCGAGAGGTACTGTCTGGCTGTGCTGCCTGCGCACGGGTACTTTCTGACACTGGCGTCAAACCTTGCTCGTCCAGCTTAGAGCCCGGGAATATCAGCCCTCTCCTCTTACAGCCTTTCGCCGACGAGACCATCCGACTCTGTATTCGACTGCTCTTCCACACGCGGCACTTCATTGCAGTGTACAGACCGAAGCCGTCATGTCTGCAGAGATTGCTGGAGCCTGCGGGATGGAAGGCCACTGCAATCTCGAATCGCGCCCATTGAGAGGCTGCCGCAGATTGATTAGGGCCCAAGCCGGGCCAAGAAAACACCAAGAGCTGAATTGCCTAGTGCCCCCTGCTATACTCCAGACTGTGTTCGCGGCGTCGCCAGCTGGATGCTTACAGGCCTGCTACCTAGGTATTGCAATGCAGGCCTTCAGACTATTCCCGAGCAGCTCCCGAGCTGGCGGCGGCCTTGGGACGTTTCTGCCCTCTGCTGTGCTGCCTCTTCACATCGTCGTACGCGTCCTGCTCTTCGTGTCTCTCATTCGCCCTTGGACTTGTGCCGGTCGGACTTCCAGAACCTCAGAAACTTCAGATGGAACGAGCACACACATAGCAGCCGCCACACTGTGTACAGAAACATGACATTTCCCAAGGTTTCGAGAAACATGAACTACTGGATGCCAGCCTCTCAGAAATCCCATCAACAAATGAGTGCTTCTTCCCTGCCATCGCTAGCAAGATTAGGGTGTCAATCGCCATCCATGAGCAGACGATCGGTGGCCTGTTGCTCAGTTGACCGACGAGTGAAGATCAAAACAACACCCGTCAAACCTGGCTTGCAGAGTCACATCTACATGTACGATTTGCCTTGATCGACACCAGTCTCGCAGTCTGACACGTCCAAGCAGCAAGCCGGGCTCCATACGTCTACGCAATTTTAAGTGGCCCAGGGGTTCGTCATCCTGCGGAGGCTCAGCTCTTGTGTTTATCGACCGCCGACACGGCGTGGAGAGAAACCAGCACGTACTAGCGCGCCCTTTTGCAATTCTCGAGCAACTTGGCACCGGATTTTCCATCACCCACGTTCCGAGACCACATCCTTTCCTCGAGGACCTCAGTCCTGGCTCCTGGCCCTCTATCGAATGCCGTCAGTGTTCGGGTCGGTCAGAGCGTGGTGTGAGGTGAGCTCAGCCCCACGGAACATATTGGTAGCGTACCTACACATACATCGCTACTAGTAGCAACCGGTAATCGGGGTGGGCGAGGTGGTAATGATGGTGGCTGGCCATGTTTTTCGGGGCTCGCCAGATCGCCCACTCAGGGCCCCGCTCCCCGCCACTCTACCTACCTAGAAATCAAGACCGTACTTTACCCAATTCCCACTAGCCAGAAAGCCGTTGAGGCGGAATGCACGCATCGTCTCTAAATTTAGAAAACTTCGCCCAACCCAACACCACCACCACCACTTTCCGATTGTCGGCGCCGAACCACACCACGCAACTCAAGGCTCAGTTCAATATGGGGCGAACCCGAATACCTACCTACAGAGCTTCAACCTTTAAGGTTGCCGAGCTTTCTCGAAGAAGCCACTTGCAACCATCCCCGCTCGACGCGTCGACGATGCCATCACCGCCACAACCGTCGAGCTCAAAACCCCAGGACTGCCGGGGCCTGGCTTGCTAGCTCCCGTCCTGCCTGTGCCTCGGCGGAGGGTTTTTGAGAGAAAACGACCCAGCAGCTTATCCATCGTTGCTACGCTGCGACTGCGGCATCACCTATCAGACCGGGCTTTGAATGGCGAAGAATGGGGCTTGTTTCCCTTTCGTCCTGAATATTGACAACACGACAAACTACTCCCAGGGTCCAGTGACGTCGCGCCCCTCTCCCGCCATAGCTCCGAGCCTGACGCCATGTGGACGGCTCTCGCAAACGACAACTTGGCCGCGAAACCCATCGTGGCCCGGTGACCCAAGCTTGTCGTCTGCATCGCCAACGTGGAGCTGGCAGCCCAACCTCGATTTTGGCTTGTGGGCGTGTGGAGAGACGAACGGGGGACCCTTGAAGCTTCGACATGAGTTTGGTTCGTCGCAATGCCCTACTCCTTGTACAACGTCTGCACGGTGAACTTTTCGGTGCCTCTCTTGGCATACGCATGTTGGCATCAGCGCTATCTGTGTACCATACCCTATGAGTCTCTATTCTTACTGAGCCTCTCGGTGTTTCGTTTATTTCTTTATTTGGCGGTACCTGGACCACCACCATATGCCGGTCTTAGCTGCAACGCTACACGTCGAGGAACGAACGGCTCCTAGATGCCACGGGGATGGTGTTTAAACTGGGAAAGCCACGCCACCAAGCATGTGGTTGTTCCGTCCCACTCACCTCACGCCGCGACTGCAAGAGCCTCGACTGATGAAAAAAAGTCAACTCGAGTCGAGACCCGTTTCAGCGGCAAGAGCGAAATCATCCTCGCGGGAGACCCCTCCTTGCCTCCATTGTTGACGGGACAGGGGAGGCCTGCAATAGCGCATCCCCCGATATAGGCGTAACTACACAGCTTTTTTTATGGCCGGCTTCCGCTTTCAAGCCATAGCTGGTTCGGGTTCATGTCCCGGAGGGGCTCTAATCAATGCCTCCGAAGCGGCATAGCCCGGGTGACGCGCGGTACACAGCAGCAACACTACTAAACATCTGCCCATCCGCATGATCTTGCATGTGTATGCCGGCTCGTGGTGTGGTCTCCGAGATACCGATCCCGGGCTTCGAAAAAAACACAAATCCGACATGCTGCGTGTATCGGGCATAGCTTGAGGGGGGTTTCGCGTTAGGAGGTGTCCGGTGCTTCTATCGAATCGCTCTGGCTACATGCGCTCCCGACGGCATCACGCTTGCGGTACGGAGAGTGCCGCAAACCTGCAGCCACGTGCACACCGCGGCCGATATGATGCGGCCTAGGTACCGTAGACTCCTGACTGTTTGATCTCAGTAACGTGTAAGCAAGCCCCCACCTTTTTTGAGGCCCTCAACTGTTGCACGGCAGCCAGCTGCAGCACGTGTTCGTGCCGGCGCGGGGACAGCGCAGCGGAGGAATGTGAGCTGCATTGGAATGTGCAACCATTGGTGCCGGGATCGGGATACCTCAGTTGGCAAGCAATGCCACAGAGCACACGGCGGTGCAATGCAGGGCTGCTACATGAAGTCTTGCTGTCGTCTACCATTTATCGATCCCGGAGATGTCCAAGGGAGGCATCGCGGCAACTTGTCTCGAGAAATCGGACGCCGTCCTCACCTTGGACTCACTTGTTCCGGCCTCAGCCCACTTGTTGCTTGTGGCCGTGGCCGTGTGGGGCGGTCAGTGCACCTTTGCACCGCTGTGCCGGAGCCGGATGGAGATGGGGTTGGGAGTCTCGAAAGGATGGAGAAGGCATCGTATACGTGGGTTCAACGATGGTTCGAAGGGTGATAGGCGGCACCATCAAACAGACGTGGGCAAGTATGTGGGCTTGCGGATCGCTCGGACGATGTCAGCGGAGGTCAGAGCCGAACCATCAACGACTTCGCGGCGCGACGACAGCTCATCTCTGCCATGGCAAGCTGATAGGATGGCAGTGGGATATCTTGCGAGCCATTGGGATGCGAGGAAGCCAGCGTTGACGGACGGGAGCATGCTCGACTCTCCCCTTGGGGCGCACCAGGGCTTTCGCATCGTGACCAAAGGCATTGGTCATTTCTCAGGTCTTTTCGTGCTTCCACAGCTTCCCACAATTCCCCTCCGCCTTCATCCCTCTCCTCTCGTCTCGTCTCGCCCTGCTCCCTCCTCCTCCTCCTCCCCTCTCCTCTCCGCCCGGCTCCCAAACCCAAACTCAAGGTGCCTACAACGACCAGGAACTACCTAGAAAACCCTGTGGTCTCTGCAATGCCGCCACCCACAGTTGACCACGCGTTGGCGGAAGGTCTGGTTCTCCGTACAGGCGCCAACAAGTGCAGAGACCGGCGGTTTACATGGTCAGCAAAACCCTTGCGCTAAGAAAAGACGGTGGACAGCTACTCGACGCCAGGTGTCGTCACTGGGGAGGAGCCTCGAATCCATTCCTGGTGCAGTGGAAGCGGGACTGTGGAGGATGAGGGGAGACGGGTGGCGAGAGGAACATGTTCCTCTGCACAAACAAACTGTGAAGGGGTACTTGCGTCTCTCCGCGGGATGCAACACCTGAGTTGTCCCCAAGTGCAAGCGGTGCGGTGGAGGAGAGCCCAGGCCGGGTCTATCTGCGGGCGGAGTCGTCTCACACCCAGTCAGCGACCCAATTGGCACCCGGTCGGGGTTTTTTGGAGTTTTCTTTGCTTTCAATCCCTTGTTCCCGAGCAGCACGAACTGCATCAGTCACCGTTGAGGTGCATACGGGAACTTCCAACAGCGTGCAAATGCCACATAACGGTCCAATCCTGGTGCTGCATTGCCTTTTATGCTGTCCTGCGCCGAGCTGCACCGCATCTGATCTTACCGGGCTTCCACTTGGATAGGACACTTGAGCTTCAGACTAGTTAGTATATTGGGCCCCGGCCAAAGTCAGCATGGGCTCTGGATGTGACAGAAGTGAGGGTCCTCTCTGGGCAAGAAATACGCTGCCAGCACACATGGTATCCTATGCATCAACTCAATGGAACTGCTTGCCTACATCGCGCTACACGCGCACGAGGTTGATTGTTCATAGCTCGAGCGCTTGACGATGACCATCGAGAGCGACCCTTTCCAAGGTACATTGCTGTACTTTATTTCAAAACACAACACTACTTCAGCTACCTAGCTGCCTCAATCTTTGGGGGGAGGCCATCCCGTCTCCCCGACTTTTGTCGCTGACTGACGACCAAGCTGATCTGCATCCTGCCAAGTTGTTCGGTTGCTCCATCCGCGCACATCTCTTGTCTCCGTCTCAACCTTGTCTCCTGTCCTGCGCTAGAGTTCGCATCATCCAACATCGACACAGGGGTCGAGCACCATCCAAGCGCTTTCTACCCTTTGCCTCGTCCTGCTTCATCCAGGCACCTGGGTTGGCCCCCATTCATTATCAATACCGCACAATGCTCTCCCCTCTATCAACGTCCCACGCAAGGTTGACATAGATAAGCACCCAAGCAACCGTCTTTGGTCTCTGCCCAACCCAATATATCCCATCCACCCTCCCTTGTCTCCTTGTAAGGTCATCTCCCTGCCCAACGTATTGCAGAGCAAGGCAAATTGAGGTGGACTAGCTCCCTCGGCAGCTCAGAGAGCAGAGAGCCCCTAGAGAAAAGCAGCACAGACAATAGAAAGAGACAAGCGTACCAGAAAAACCTTGGTCGGGTCAGCCCAGCCCACTGGGTCAGCACACCCGACGAGTTTCAGGCGCCATTTCGACAGGGAAGAAAGACAGTGACAAGAAAAATAGCGAGACAGCATCTGCTTCCTGCTCCTCCTTGAGACCATTTCCACCCCTCCTCTCTCTTTCTCTCTCCACCCCAAAAAAGCTGCTCCAACTCCGTCTTTGGATCCTTGGCAAAAGCAACCCAGCACCCAGCCGCCAAACCAAGACCTTGGGACAACCGGGCGGCGCCACTGGGATTAGACTGGATTGGGTTGAATTCAGAGGGACCGGACGGGACTCGACTTCCTCTTTGCAGAATCTGATTGACCAAACTTTCTCACCACCACCTTTACCTCTTGTGCCTCTCTCCCCCTCTCTCTCTCTTCCTTCCGCTACACAAACACACTACACCGAACTGCACCGCGCTTCCACCATACACACACACAAACACACACACACACACATACTCCCTCGCCTCCACAAAACCACTCCGTACGCCGTGCCGTGCTACCTACCTCTCGACGCCTTGACCACCCAACCTTGGCCAACAACACACCACACAAAGTCTCGCTCGCATCTCTGCTACTGTCTTTCCATCCGCTCGCAACTCGACTCTGCTCTGCTCCATCGCCTGCCGTCTACATCCGGCCCTACCCCCGCATTCCATTGATTGAACTTGTCTCTTTCCTTCTCCCGCAAGGGTCGCAAGCCACAGGCATCTCTGAGTCCATCTATCGAGGTACGGAGCCCAAACCTAATATCCGCCGGGCTTGTTCCATGCCTGTCGCCCAAGCACTGCCGCCGTCCTGCATTCGTCCCTCCTCATCCACCTCACCAAACGGCAACTCGGATCTTTCGCCTTATCTCCAGCCCACGCGATCCCAACGAAGCTGACCAGATTCTCTTTCAACGCAGTGCAGCGCTTCGAACGAATGCCTCAATAGCTTCATTCCATCCGCGCCCGCCAACCGAACATCCGTTTTCTCTCTCTCTCGCTTTGCCCCAACGCACCCGCCGCCCGCGAGCCACCTATACGTCACTCGCCCGCCTCTTCGCTTACAGAACGACCTTACTCCTCTCTAGCCATCGATCAAAGGCAATCGCCTTAACACGCCCAAAACGGACAACTCAAGTGGACGCCGCTCTCCCTCCCGCATCCGCTTCCTGTCCATTCTCGATCGCCTCTTCCATCCTCCCTAGGACCTGCACTGCAACGCAACGCCTTATTTTACCATCTCAAGCCCTTGCCAGACCCGGGCTGTTGCGGCAAGACGTGTAGGCTAGCCCATACATCAGACGAAAGACGAGGCCAGCCCACGCGCACAACCCGACCGACACGACAACAGCCACGACCGTCCGTTTCCTTTGCATTCGCACGAGAGCTACACATCATGGGAAACCAGCCATCCAAAGAGGGCGGCCATGCATCTGGCAAAGGCGCCGGCGGTGACGGCACCGCCGAGACCCTCAAGTCCTACCCTTCCTTTGGCAGATCCGACACCAAGGACTCGTCGCGCTCATTCAAGGCCCTTCGATCCAAGATCCCCGGTTCGAGCAAGACTGACAGCCCGAGGAACTCTGTCATCACCTCCCCCACCGAAGAAAAGTCCGACGCTGCCTCGGTCAAGTCGGGGAAAAGCGCAAAGTCCGGCACCTCCCGAGGCCGCAATGACTCCGCCACCTCGCCAATGTCGCCCTCCGGCGAAATCGAATCCCCGCTCGATGACTCTCAGCCGCCGCCATCCCCGACGCAGTCGAGCACCATCAAGAACGGGATTCACGATGTGAGCGCCGCGCAGGCCTCCGGTGAGGTCGACCACGTCTCTGACCAGCCCCCGTGTGCTGGCGGCAGCTTAAACACCCACATGCAGCAGCCGGGCAAGTCCATTCTGGCCACGAAGGGCAGTGACGGCGCCGCCACGCCCGTCGCGAAGACGATGTCGACAAACTCTGGTGATAAGCAGGAGGGAGGCGTTGCCATGAGCGAAATCAAGGACATCGACCTCGACGACTTCATCAAGCGGCTTCTCGATGCAGGCTACGCCGGCAAGGTCACCAAGAGCGTGTGCCTGAAGAACGCCGAGATCGTGGCCATCTGCCAACGAGCCCGCGAAGTGTTTCTCTCGCAGCCCGCCCTCTTGGAGCTCGATGCTCCGGTGAAGATTGTCGGTGATGTTCACGGCCAATACACGGATCTCCTCCGCATGTTCGAAATGTGCGGCTTCCCGCCCTCGTCCAACTACCTCTGCCTGGGTGACTACGTCGACCGCGGCAAGCAGTCGCTCGAGACAATCCTGCTGCTGCTTTGCTACAAGCTCAAGTTCCCCGAGAACTTCTTCTTGTTGAGGGGAAACCACGAGTGTGCCAATGTCACCAGAGTCTACGGGTTCTACGACGAGTGCAAGCGCCGCTGCAACGTCAAGATCTGGAAGACGTTCATCGACTGCTTCAACACGCTGCCCATTGCCGCCATTGTTGCGGGCAAGATCTTCTGCGTCCATGGCGGTCTGTCCCCGCGCTAGGTCACATGGATGATATTCGCAACATTGCCCGTCCCACCGACGTCCCCGACTACGGCCTGCTGAACGACCTGCTGTGGTCTGATCCGGCCGACATGGAACAAGACTGGGAAGCCAACGAAAGAGGCGTGAGCTACTGCTTCGGCAAGCGAGTGATACTGGATTTCCTTGCGACGCACGATTTCGACTTGATCTGCCGCGCACACATGGTGGTTGAGGACGGGTACGAGTTCTTCAATGATAGGGTCCTTGTAACAGTTTTCAGTGCCCCCAACGTAAGTCTTGGCCCGGTGATCCGCAGAGAACTTTGGCTAACAAGAGACGACAGTACTGCGGCGAGTTTGACAACTGGGGCGCCGTCATGTCCGTCTCCAACGAGTTGCTTTGCAGCTTCGAGCTGCTTAAGCCGCTAGACTCTAGTGCGCTGAAGAGCCACATCAAGAAGGGCAGGAACAAGAGGCAGAGCATGCTCAACAGTCCGGTGAGTAGTTTTGAGACACATGATGTACGCAGGAGAAGAGACTGACACCATGATAGCCTGCACACGTCGAGCCACGAAGCGTTTGATGAGGCGACCGTGCTGGGGAGAAGAGGGACAGCAGACAAATCTCCATTCACTGATGGATTATCACGAATTACAATTAGTCGGGCAACCGGGCAGAACATTTCAGACCAGAGCTCTTCAAGGCGACCGATGCGGCTCGGGCGTCATCACGAATACCCTCGGCAGGTGGAACTCCCCGAAGGACATGAAGGCCAACTCGAGTCCTGTGATCACGGACGAACGATGCCTGCAAAAGGCGTAATAGCCGAGTCGAGTGAAGGCCAGGTTGGGATACTTGGCAGGGTCAAAAACTCTAGCAGGTGCCGTTCGTTACTATTCCAGGTCTAGACACGTGTTTGGACAAGAGCGAGAGCACAGCTGGAAACAGGCGAATTTCTTCGATGTTGGTGGAGAATGTCAGGGCAGACGTCGGTTGCTGTTTCCGAGTCTGGTTGGTGATGGAGGTGGGGCGGCCTTGATACCAGCCTGTCTTGGACAGTAGCTACAACGAGCTAGCAATACTGCGTATGTTTAGTTCATTTACGAACGGTCATCGATGAAAGGCATCGGCTAGCGGGGGTTATCATCTTTACACCGAGATTATAGTTATGTAGTGGTACTGGGACTTGATTTTGCAAACTCGCCTTTTTCTAACTCGGTGACGGTACGTTGAAATGAAGACTCCACAAGAGTCATCTTCAAGCTTGTTACAAGTGCTACAAGAACAGCCCGCGCGAAGAGGTGTCACATCTCAAGTCAAGCTGAAAAAATAAGGCTATCTCATTGCAAGCTGAAGTTCGGTTTCGCGCCTGCCTGCCTGTAAACGCGCCTACTTTTGCGCGGGCGAAGCGAGGCAGTTGCCCCTCCATGAGGGAGCCCCACTTTCCGCCTCAACTCAGCCTGTGACATCAACTTTTTTTCTTCATACCGCGACTTCACAAGTTCGGTGTGATTGAAGCGACCTATCTCGATACCCTCAATCTGCTCGGACGAAGCAGCAAACCCACCTGGCGACTCAGTTCAACCCACAGAATTGAGATTGCAGGTTCTGTTTTGGGTGCCTGCCTCGCACAATACGACTGATACGCAGCGGAGAGTGGAAATTTCCTCTCTTCCCTTTCATAGTCTTTCACCAGCCGGCTTGGCTTTGTCACCTTAAACGGCCCGCACCTTCCCTGGCCAATCTCAACCCACAACGCTACTATTTATTCAATCTACTTACCTGGTATTCAATCCATTGGGAAGACTATCCACGCTCACATCTCTTCTGTCAGGCCCACGCCAGATCTGAGCAAGATGGAGAACCAAGCCCCTCAGATCGACGAGTCTGAGCAACGCGCAGCGAAGCGTCTTAAGGTGGACGACTCCGCGCAGCCTGCAGAGGTGCCCGCCGCCGAGGAGCAGCGCGCTGCTGTTGACGAGGCTTACAAGCACGTGGAGCCCGTCCCTGCCAATGGCACCGCTGGTGAGAAGACCGACGTCCAGATGAGCGAGGCCCCAGCAGCCGATGAAAAGAAGCCGGCCAACGACGGCTCTGCCGTCGTCCAGACTGGCGACGCGACTGCACAGCCGAAAAAGGACGATAGAGATGTGAGACGCGGCCAGGCTCCCATCAAGGCTGAGTGAGTTACGATTCATGGCTTTTGGGAGGTCTACATGACTGATTCGCTTGCAGGTTCCTCGTCTATAGAGAAGGCCAGGCGAAGGAGCAGGACGAGGTCGCTGATGATGATGCGGCCGAGGGCCGTGGTCAGGGCGATGACAGAGATGCCCGGGACAACCGAGACAACCGTGACAAGCGCGACAAGAAGAAGCGTGAGAAGGGCCAGAACAAGGAGCGCAGCTTCGGCCACTTTGACGATGCTCTCCGCCTCTGCAACAGCCGTGCCTATACACCTGAGTTCTCTCCTCGCGACTGTAAGTTCGGCGACAGGTGCAACATGCTGCACGACCTGCGCAAGTATCTCAAGGAGGGTCGTCGTGAGGACCTCGAAACGTTTGACGGCAAGTGCCCCGTTTTTGAGCTACTGGGCATCTGTCCCTCCGGCTGGAAGTGCCGCTTCGTCAAGAGCCACATGAAGGAGGTCGACCACGAGGACGGCCGCAAGGAGCTGGTTCTGGTCGAGGAGCCCAAGGTGGCGAAGACGAGCGGCGAGGCCCCCGCCGACGCCGGACGCGAGGATCTCAGGCCGGGTGTCTACAACAACACGGAGAACCAGCTCAAGATTGATCTCAGCCGTAAGCGCATCGACTTCACCGAAACGGACAAGTACATCACCTGGATGAACAAGGAGGCGAGGCTGGGCGACGAGTTCCACCAGCGCCGCAAGGACCAAATCATTAGCAACCAGGAGGACCTGCGCGCGCAGTTTGTCGACCCGCCCCTGAAGCCGTCCGAGAAGCGTAAGCTTTACTTTGGCAAGGAGACGCCCGCTCTCGCCCCGCTGACCACCCAGGGCAACCTGCCCTTCCGCCGCCTTTGCGTCGACCTCGGCGCTCAGCTCACCTACTCGGAGATGGCGCTTGGCATGCCCCTGGTGCAGGGCGTCAAAAACGACTGGGCGCTGATGAAGGCCCACGAGAGCGAGATCAGCCCGCCCAAGGTCAACCCTGACACTAGCAACATTGTCCAGGGCTACGACAACTCCCGTGACCTCAAGTTCGGCGCGCAGATCTCGGGCAGCCAAGCCTGGCACTGCGTCAAGTCGGCCGACCTCCTCAACCGCTACGTCCCGCACCTGCGCCTCATCGATCTCAACTGTGGCTGTCCCATCGATATGGTCTACAAGGCCGGTGGCGGCTCCGCCCTGCTCGAGGCCCACGGCAAGCTCGAGCGCATGGTCCGCGGCATGAACACCGTGTCGGGCGAAATCCCCATCACGGTCAAGCTCCGCACGGGCGTCCGGCAGAACCGCCCCACGGCGACCACCATCCTCGGGAAGCTCGCCTTTGGCTCCCGCGAGAACCGAGACCGTCTTGGCGCCCCTGGCTGTGCCGCCATCACCCTTCACGGCCGCAGCAGGGAGCAGCGGTACACCAAGAAGGCCGACTGGGGCTACATCGCCGAATGCGCCGCCATGATCAAGTCGTACAACGAGGAAAAGGACAAGATCACCGACACGGCGCGCGAGCCCGACGAGTCCACTCTACCCAACGCAAAGGACGGTCGCATGTTCTTCCTCGGTAACGGCGATTGCTACTCGCACGTCGAGTACTACGAGCACATTGAGAAAGCCAAGGTCGACACTGTCATGATCGGCCGCGGCGCCCTCGTCAAGCCCTGGCTCTTCGAGGAGATCGAGAAGGGTCAGTACCTCGACAAGTCGGCGACGGAGCGCCTCGCCTACGTCGAGAAGTTCTGCCGCTTCGGCATGGAAGCCTGGGGCACCGACGAGCTCGGCATCGGCTTCACACGTCGTTTCTTGCTCGAGTGGCTCAGCTTCGCGCACCGGTACGTGCCCCTCGGCCTGCTCGAGTACCTCCCGCCCGACCTCAACGACCGCCCGCCGGCGTACCACGGCCGCAACGACCTCGAGACGCTGCTCGCCAGCAAGAACTACCGCGACTGGATCAAGATTAGGTACGCGACCCCGCCGATTGTTTGTGGAGGAAACGGATTTGCTAACTCGTGCCAGTGAGATGTACCTGGGCCCGGCCCACCCCAACTTCAACTTCCAGCCCAAGCACAAGTCTCACGCCTACGAGGCCGAGGGCTAGTTTGATGATTAACGAGAAGAGATGTGGCCCTTGATCCGGACTGGAGATGATGGAAGTGAAAAGAGACATTTGCTATCTTTGGCTTTATTTATTTATTCCTCTCTCATTGCGTGGGATGCCGCGTATGGATGTGACCATGTCCTCTTGGAAGGGGCGGAGTGGTCAAGCTCAGAGGTAGAACATCACACATACAATCAGAAGCTGCTGCATACAGGCATGCAAACGGGATAGATTAAGGCAATCGCTTCTTTGTACAAACCGGTCGTTGGGCGACGCTGTTGACGCCCCCGACGCTTTGGCAGGCAAGGTCTACAAAGCTTGGTGACTGTTCCCGATGCCCCCGTGTTCCTCGTACCCAACGCGTTGATCCCGACGGGGGTGTGTAGGTACAAACTCGTGCTGCTGCAGCACGTGCGAATTCCACCAACGGACAGGACGAGACGAGCAGCGCCTCTTAAAGGAGAAAAGTCGTACGTCTTGTATTAGGGGCGTGGCTGGCCTTGTCACAGACAACGGCGAGCCTGTCGCCGTCTCAGTGCCTCTCGTATGTCCAGCCTCTGCGGCATGGGCGGAGGTGAACGGTTGTGGGCTGCCGCCGCACCTTTGCCGTCCATTCCGAGCTGGGCATGGAGGGGGGGGGGTTTCGGAAGCGCGCATGGGAAGAAGAATCCTTGTTTAGAAACGTTTGTGTTGTGTAGATTTAAAACGCCGGAAGGTCCCCTTGTTGCGTGAAACTCTCCGGACTCTTCGGCTAGACTGTAGATGGCATGAGCGGTAACATGGTCAAGCACGAGACATCAGACCGGCCATGAGTAGTGATTTGCGTCAAAAGCAAGACCTTGATTATAGCTATAACTCAACGCCATCCAGGCTTCTTACGCCGATTTCATTCAGACAGGCCCTTGGGCCGGAGCATGTTCTGTTGCTCCCTTCCCCTTTCTCCACTGCACCTTGCACACGCGGCGGTTTTTCTCTGCTAAATTTTGCTAAAAGCTGGAACGATCGAGACATATTTTCCCTCCCTCGTTTACTGCGCCTTCTTGTTGCCCTGGGGCTGCGTCTCGGCATACTTGTCCGAAAGCTCGTCGTAGCTCTTGTGGAGACCGGCGCTCTGCTTCTTGAGCGTCTCGATATCGCGGTTCTTCTGCTCAAGCTCCTTGCGGAGCTTGGCGATCTCGCCAGGCTGGCCGGCGACGGCGAGCTTCTCGCTCTCCTTGGTGTTGCCCTTGGTACCCTCATAGCCGCGGACCTTGTCCTCGAGACGCATGACCTCGAGGATCATGACGTAGGTGCGGTTCAAGATCAGCGAGAGGAAGAGGGTGAAGCCGCAAAGGTACATGTTGCGCTGGGAGTAGAACTTGCGGGCCTGCACCTCGAGGCGCTCGTGACCCATAACGGCGGCACCACTGTGAGGACGGTCTCTGTTAGTATTGTGTGCGACTTTGGTGATATGGTGAAGGGGGTTGTTGTGGGTGGGAACCAAGGGAGCGTCAGTGGAAAGGGGAAGTGGGGACATACCCGCTGTTCTGCTTCTCAGTAGCAAGCGCGAGCTCGACCTGGACGCGGTAGACGCGGTTGACGCTGTCGATGAAAAGAATCAGGATGAAGACGAAGGTGATCTTCATCCAATACTGGACTTTGGCGACGACCGGACTCTCGGAGATGAAGCTGCCAGCAGGGAGGCCACGTTAGCGATCGACTTCATCGAGAGGAGGGCCGGGAGCACGGGGAAAGGGCAAAACCTACGTAAACAGCTTGCGCTTGACGGTGAAGGGAAGGGGCACGATCAGGAGCATGAACAGCCCCATCTCTGCCATGAGCAGCACGAACACCTAATGCGGGGAGAAAAGTCAGCATCCTCCGTCGTCTGCCAAGCTGTTCCCCTCTCCCAATCTCGATTGGCAGGGGAGCTCATCGTCGAGCGCGGGCGAGAGACGTACGAGAGTGTAGTAGAGCGTCATCTTGAACGGTGCGGGGAAAGCTTCAGCTTCCGGATCAGCTTGTCAAAAAAAAAGCTCGGTTGGTCGTGTGCTCTCCGTGAAAATTGGGAGAGAGGCGGTGGCGGATGGTGGATACACTCGGAAGCCCAAACTGACTTTGCTCCGGCAGTGTTTCTTGGTGTTGAGTGTCGGTCTACGTAGGCGAAGAGTGTTTTGCCGATTTTGTACTGTGATTTGTAGGAATGCTGCAGGCAAAGCTGGGAGGAGCTGGCCTTTTGTAGGATGTGCGTCAGAGGTGACGATGGGGTAAGGTAATTGCTTCTGGCAGAGGTGGCAGGTACGCGAAGAAAGGTACCCTCTCTTTCTCTTAGGCAGGGACCCGGACCGGCCTTTACAGGTTACGTAGCTTGGACGGGAGAGGGACCTTGGCGAGAGGACCAGGGCTGGCTGGGAGCAGCAGAGCCGGTGAAAACGAGACGTAAGTCAACAACGTCATCGGTGGCTCGTGCGGCTTCAATTTGGGGGGGAAGAGGGAGCTGAGGTACACACTTTTTCAGTGTGCTGCGGCCCTTGAGGCTTTGGCTTCTAGTGGACGCTTGCTCCGTGTCCGCAAGTTTGTTCGCATGTGGCTGGTTCCACAGCTGGTAACAGATGTGAGAGGACTTGCAAGCGCCTGGCTCGTCCCGAGACACCAGGCGAGCCCGGAATTCGCAACTAGCCTCTCATTCTGTCTGACGTCAATCTTGGGAACAACCAAAGGTGGAGGGATGATTCAGAAGATGCAGAATGCGGATACTCTTGTGAACCAGCCCGAATCCTGCTCCAAGCCACAGTAGAGCCGCATTAGCATAGCCTAGTCGTGTGCGCCATCTTCTCACACACTTATTGCCTGTCACGCATCACGAACTCTTCATCAATGTTTGCCAGACAAGCATCGTCAATGTTATAACTACCTCTCTTGGCCAAATTCATGCTACCTGCCTTCGTGGCTTCACTTTGGGTATTCATGGCAAATTGAGACCAAAGCAAGCAAGCGGCCACATCAACCGCTCCTCATGCCACTCGACTCATTCGTAAACCTGAACGCCCAGCTTTTGAGTCCAAAGAGGAACCTCCAAAAAAAAAAAAGAAACCCCGGAAAATAAAGAGTACCAGATCGTACAATTTTTACAAAGGAAACCTATAGCATCGCCTTATCGTTCCGCCAGGGGGGTTGCCTTGGCCCCCACTGAAGTGAATTTTGTGTCTTGTTTAGTTATAGAAAACGCTCTTCTGGAAGCTCTCGGGAGACACATCGCCAATCTTTGACTTGATTTCGGGTGCCTTCTCAGGAGCGGCGCCAGTCAGCGAGTTGGTCCGGCTGCTGTCACTAGGGGCGGCCTTAATGGCGGCCAGAGGCTGGCCAGGTCGCTTGATAACCTCGAGGTAAGTCGCCGGGAGGTAGCCCTGGCGGCCGTCGCGGGCGCGGCATCTCCACCACTCGCTAGGGTTGCCCATAGGGTCGCTCTTGGAGAGGACGGCGACAAGATCGCCTTTGCGCACCTCCATGTCAACATCCTTTACGGCATTGCCGGGCTGAGGGGTGTAATCGTAAAGCAGGCGGCAGTAGTCGAGCTTAGAAGGGTCCAAGGCCTGTTGCTCGCCGGCCAGTGCCATACGGCGCCGTTCCTCCTCCTCTGCGGACGCAGCCATGGTGTTGATCATCTTGCGCATGAGATACGGGAGGCCGAACGCGGCAAGGAGGAAGAAGAAGAGCGGCTTGCGGGAAGCCTTGGGAGGTCCCAGAGGGGCGCCGTCAGGGCCGATGGGCTGCCGGCCCTCGAACTTGGCAAAGGCTGCCGGCGTGAGTGCTGTCGCGTCGGCCGGAGGTGGGCGGCCGGTGATCTTGGCGATGAGCGTACGGATCCAACGCATCAACGTAAAGATGCCGAGGATAGAGCCCAGTGTATCCCTAAGGTTACTGAACTGCTCTGCTACCGAGACCATTGCTGGAGTCATATTAGCCATCGTTGCGTACCGTATCAAGGGCAGAACATACCGAAAAAGCTTGAGTGTGTGGCCATGTATGTGCTCTCCAACATCTGGGCAAACCCTCCAAAGGCGCCGACGATGCCCTCGAGCATCTGGAACGTCGCTTGGGTGCTGTTGTTGAATCGGTTCGTCAGACTGTTCGGGTCATTGGGGTTTCCAGGCATTCCACCCATTCCCATGCCTCCCATGCCCATGCCGCCGTACATGCCTCCACCGTACATGCCGCCGCCCATGCCGCCGTAGCCACCATACATGCCTCCACCATAGCCGCCGTAGGAGCCCATCCTGGAATACGGGCTGCTGTAGGGCGAAGAGTAGGCGCCGCCGTAGGTTCCGTAAGGGCTGTTCGTCGCGCCGACACCTCTGCTGTAAGCAGCGGCGTTCTGATTAACGGCAGCGTTGAGGGAGGCCGGTCGTTCGGGGACGGCGGGCGGGGTACTACCGGAGGAGGAAAGGGAGGTGGCCGGTGTCGGGGTCGCGAAAGAGGCGGCGGTCGGGGCCGTTGCTGGAATCGTCGTTAGCAAATCTCTATATGGCGGCGTTATTGACATTTGTCTGGTGTTCAACGCACTTGAGGCAGCTGTTGTTGTAGCACCGGCCCGTTCCCAGGGCTTTGGAGGGGAAGCCATAATTACTTTTCCCGCGAGGAAGAAGTTTTCCTTGGAAACTGTGTCGGTTCGGCGTTATCTCGCAATCCCGCCTATCGGTAGACGTGGGTGGCGAAATCCCTCGGGCGCGTGTTTGGTCGGGGTGCACGCCAGGCTCCGGAAAAGCGACGAAGGATGGCTTCAATCAAGCCAGGTCCTCGGATGCGAATGAGCAGCCGGCCTCGATCAGTCGTGATGTCGGATGACGATACGACGACGTTGGGTGATGCGATGGAGAGGGAGAGGGGGAAAAGTCGAGTCCGGGAGAGAGACGAGCCGCTGGGATGGCGGAGGCAGATTGGGCTCTTAGTGCGCACGCATTCTTGAGTAATGGGGGAATCGGGGACTGTAGTCACAGTGCAGGCTCAAGCGATAGGCAAGTGACCCCGGCGCTCGTGCTTGGTGTTTGCGTGGTGGAAAGAGTCAGAAGCTGGAGACTAGGTGCATACCTACCTTAGAGTTGGAGGCGCAGTACCCAAAAACATGGGGTCGGGGTTCAGGCGGGTCCCCCTCCAGAGTGGCTTTTGCCTCGGTTCGTTTATTCCGGCACGGCCTAGTCTGCGCACCCTTCCTTTTTGGCCCGCCACTGCGCCGCCGTCTGCCGTTCTTGAGCCTCGGCATTTTCACGCCCCGGTTTGCGACTTTGGGAGATTTGTCTTTAATGAACCTTCTGGGGCGGAACGTACAGTCGTTATCGAGGCACGAGTGACTTTTTCGGTCTTCATTAGTACATTTGCCTCAACCACCTGCTCGCGTCTGGAAGTACAGCATGGCTTGTCAAAATGCCGGCTAGCAGTAGTTGCACCAGCCTCCCCAAGGATACGATACTTTCAATCGATGAGCGGTTTGAACACTGGACCAGGAGACTGGATTTCGATGGCTCCACCATCGACTGAGTATTGATTCATCAATCTTTTACTGACACGAAACATGTTTTATCCTCCGCTGCTATCAAATACTAACAAACCGACCAACTCACTGCAGCCCAGCAAAAGCCTTGGCCTTCTTCACATAGTCCTCCCATGTCGTCAGCTTATCCTCCACAATCGCGTGCGACTCGTCCAGCTTCTCGCCGCCGTAGTATCCAAACTCGTTAAGCAGCCTCATGTTCTGCAGCAACTCCTCCGCAGCGAAGTCCGGCATGCCTTGGCCCTTGAGCGCCCCACGGAAATCGTCGTGCGAGATCTCGTTGTACCGCGCCGTCTTGCCTGCCTCCGGGTACACCTTCTTGAAGACCTCAACTGCCTCGCCCGCCGTCGTGTACGCTGTCGCCGCGAGGATCCGCTTGCCCAGCACCTTTTCGCGGTTCAGCACGATGCCCTTGACGAACTTGCCCGTGTCAGCCGCCGGGTCGAAGAACGGGATCGGCGAGCTGGCCGGAACAGGGAAGTTGAAGGCCCAGGCGTTGTCCGGAGGCGTCTGGCGGAGCATGCCGCCAGGGAGGTTGCTCATGTAAAAGCCGGGAAGGAAGAAGGTTGATGGGAGGGAGGTTGTGCGGACGTACTCCTCGACAGCGGCCTTGCTGTCGAAGTGGTACACCTCAGGAAGGACGCCGTTGGACACTGTTTTTTTGCGACATGTTAGTCATCTGTCTAGCATCGTGAGAGTGAAGCGTTCGGAGGAGATGGTGATGGAGATTGACTTACGCTTGTTGATGTCGAGGAGCGAGCTGAAGATGAAGTGCTCAACGCCAGCCTCCTACTAGAAGTTAGTCTGTATGCTACGCTGGGATGGAAAGCCATCTACGCACCAGAGCAGCGTCGGCGATGTTCTTGCCCTGCTGGATCTCAAGGTCCTTGTTAAGCGTCTCCCAGTAGTTGGTCACGGCGAAGACGGCAGAGGCACCCTTAACTGCGGCGGCGAGCGAAGACTTGTCACCGAGGTCGGCCTGTTGAGGGAAGGCGGTCAGCATGGGACTTCTTCCCCACTCCCGGAATACACAAGTGCTAGACTTACAGCGACAACCTCGACGCCCTTGGCCGCCAGAGCCTTGGACGAGTCCTTGCTAGCATCACGGGTGACACCGCGGACTTGCCAGTCCTTGCTGAGCTTTGGGTCGTTGAGGAAAATGGAGACGACGCTGCCGCCCTGGACACCGGTGGCGCCGAACACGGTGATGATCTTCTTGGACATTTTGAATAGGTACTTTGGGGGGTTCAAGTCGAGGAAGCTGTTCTGTACCGCTACGTCAGACATGAGCTTGCCAGAGTATAGTGTGGTTAGGATAGGTGGATCAGGACCGGACCCACATACCTTGATGAGATGTTTTGATCGATAGTTGAGTATGAGTAGAGTCAATACAATAATTGAACGTTGCTTGTTGATGAGGTCCAAAATTCAATGTCGAGGAGAAGAAGCGACCACCCGGATTTTATACAAATGTCTAGTGTTCATGAGGCTTGTCCCTCATCCCCTCTCCGAGACGTACCGATGATTGGATCAACGCATCTCGACGTAAATTACCAGATTGGGAAGCGCTACGCCAGAACCCCTCATGTCTTGCAGCTCGGTCTCACGCTGTCGTGCTTGCAAGGCTGGCTTCTCGCGCGCGCATAATTATCTGATTTGCCAGATATGTGTCAGCATGTTTGCATAGTTAGTTGTCTGTAGGTAGAGTACGTCGCATGTCATCTGTATACACCAATCCTTGCCTATACCTACTACACAGGTAGTAGGTAGCCCTGTTGTTGAGCCAATGCAGCTTGGAGAATGTCTCACGTAATCAACTGCAACTTAAAGGCTAAAGCGTACCTCCCTTTCCTACAATAGCACAAACATGCTTAACTCGTTGGTGCACATAGATCAACAAGCCTTGGAACTGGAGGAGCTTGCTCTGTGGTTGTCGGCCGGCAGATCTGTCAAAGCGATGGCCCCACCCCCGCCAAGATGAGCGAGCTTACCAAGCCTACAATGTTCCAGCCCTGGTCTCCGTCCCCCCACCGAAAATCCACGAGCTTCCTCCTTCTAAGTGAACGCTAATGCGAAAGCGTGAGGCGTAAATTCAATGTAGATTGTCTTACGAAAACATGATTCAGCACACCTTGATGGAGGAAGACAACACCGCCAAGAGAACCATAGTAAAGGCAACCTACGTGCTACAGATCGAAAAAGGTGGGCTTGCCGCGCGCGCCAAGAGAGAGAGAGAGAGAGAAAGGTACTTCGTCTTACCTCAGCACATCCTAAGGTAGGTACTTTTGTCGTGACATTTGTCAGGGCGCGGACGGAGTAATAGCCGTTCGGATTTCCGTCCACTACCGTAGGCGCGAGCCGCGACTGCGCTTCGACCACCATTATCAAATCACAAAACAAGGTATGCGATGCCATTTTGTTTGATAACTCCAGAGCTGCCTGGGAAGTTCTCTCGATTTCGGTGAAGTTTCTTCTTTCTCCCCTCACTGAGAACCTGTGATCCGTCAGCAGGATGACAAGATCACCCTAGCCAACTATGGGCCACCCGGCTCTTGCGGCTGCGACAGGTTCGAAAGACACCGACAATCCAGAGCCAGTCTTTTTCGGCGATATTAGCTGTCAGTCATTGGGCAACTTGCTCCTCGAGAATTTTTCTCAGGAAGACGCCACAAGGCTTGGGTATTCTCGTAAGTCACTCCTGAACGTGAACGTCGCGCTGAGACATGGTGCCTTCTTTCAAGCAAGTCACTGTGAGAAAACAGGACTCTGCAAACGCCATCACGGAAGCTATACGTTACATAGCAGAGCATTTAATATTTCATAATGTTCGTATCAATTGACTGCTTCTCTCTACTCGGAGAGAAGTAAAATGAAAACTCCTTCCTCTTCTGAGTCCTGCTGCATAAAGAATAATCATCAAAAAGGCGCACTTTTTGGGGGCAGGGTATCTTCCGTCTTCGACGCCTAAGAGTCATGTTGATGCAATCCCCCCGAGCCCCTAAAGCGAGGCGTAACTGGCATCCTCGTATATCGAAGAGAGAGAAAAAAAAAGTCGGAAAAAAGTCGTGGTCGCGTCATCAGATGCCGTGGATCCAACGCAAGAAGCTCGTTTGACTTGGTCAGGCGAGGGTAAAAGGGGAAAGAAAAAAGGGGGAAGCCTCATCCCATATATGCAACCATGGTGCATCCAAGAATCCCAAATTTCCGATTCAGAATCGTTTAAGACGACAGAGCAAACAAGCTGACCCTGTTAGACTTGCCGCCAGTGCTAGCAGTCGAAAAGGAATCAGCAGAGAGCCAGCTCTCCACTTGCGAACGGGAGAGACCAGTGGAGAAGTCGACGTCGTCGCTGAGAACCTTGACAGAGACCTGGCCAGAGTCACCGTCGAGGACGACCGCGACCTTAATGGGCGCACCAGTGGGACGGTCGAAGTAGTCGGAAGAGCCGCCAGGAACGTTGGAGTGGAAGGTGGACTTGCACTTGGTGTCGCCAGGGGCAAGGACCTCGAGGATGTCGAGTTCACCGCAGTCGGGCCAGCAGGAGCATTTGTTGTACTGGGCAGTGCGAGGAATGCGGGCGTTGAGGAACCAGAGCGCGGACATGTCTGCGTTGAAACCCGTGGTGCCGTCGAGGGGCATGTTCAGCTCAAAGAGCCAGACCGAATCCTCACCCTTAAAGCCGTCTGGAAACGTGTTAGCTTAAGGAAGGCAAAGCGGATATATGAATATGGCTCACGGTAAGCAACGGAGCCGGGGCGCGAGTAGCCGCAGCCTCCATCGTCACAAGACTTGTCACTGGCAATGAGGAACTCCTGGTTGGACTTGAGGGTGACAGGGTTCAGGACCTGGGGTGAAGCGGCACCGCCAGTAGCGTCGGAGTTGAGGTACGACAGAGAGTTACCGAAGACGCTGTTTCCGGTCAGACGCTGCACAGAGATGGAGAGCTTGAGGCTGGTACTTACTTGTCGAACTTGCCGGAGCCCTGGCCACCGTAGTTGCCGAGGAAGACGATGCCATCAGCGACAGCCTTATCAGCATTGTAGTAAGCAACGCGGGTGTAGTCGCCAGTAACAGTGCCCGAGGTGGAGCCGGCAGCCTTGGAGCCGGCAGCCTTGGAGCTGGAAGCCTTGGAGCTCGCAGGCTGGGGGACAGCGGCGGCGACGAAAGCAGGCTGGGCCGGGGTGGGAGTGGGGCTGGGGGACGCGACAGGAGGGACAGCGGGAGTGTTGGCAGGAGCAGCAACCTCAGGGGTGGGGCCGTGCCAGGTGTTGATCCAAGACTGAACAATGCCGTCAATGGTTGCGGTGACCCAGACGTCGTCACGCTTCTCCTCGACGTGCTCCTCCTCGGCATGCTTCTTGTGCAAGTGCTGGTGGCCATGGTGGCCGTGGCGGCGGGCATGAGCGTGAGAAACAGTGGGCGACCGCTTGGTCTTGGGAGACAGGTTGTAGACGGCGACCTGCTTCAGGTTCATGGGACCACGGAAGACGGGGACAAGCTGTGTTCGTGTAAGTATATGTGGTGCTAAGCGCGGAGCCACCATTTAAATAAATAGAAAACTCACCTCCTCGTTGAAAGGGGCCAGAGGGCCGGAAAAGGCAACGTCCTCAAAGGTGCAGGATCCGTCTCCGCCCATGTAGTTGACGGCCTTGTAAGTGCCCGGGTGGCCAACGTTAGAGTATAGGATCTGGTCAACAGCACCGCACCACCAGTTGCCGCCCTCCTCCTTGGCGGTGCCGGAGCACTGCTGAATGGCCTGGCCAACAGCGGCTGAAGCCAGCATGACAACAGTGGAAGACTTCATGTTGTCCTAGTGGGGTTCGCAAAGAGTTGCTTGGAATGAACGTTGAAAGACCGAGATTGCTGGCAGAGTTGCGCGAGTTCCTTTGAGTATTTGACCGGCCCCAAAGAGTAGCTCTGGTGGCTGGTAGAAAGGATGCTGGAATGTTTCGATGAGGTAAAGATATGGTCCAGATTGTTCTTTTGACTCGACTTGCGAGGCGTGACTGGGCGTGACGAGAATGGCAAATACTGTCTTGAACCCTGTTCAACGGTGTGGCTTGTCTCTGAATCAACGTTGTGTGGTGTATGCGAGTGAGACCAAGTGTCGAGTGCGTGAGTAAGGAATGACTGAAGACGAGTAGTCTAGTGTAAGGAGTGACGATGCTATTCGGAGTCCGGCAGGTCGGAGTTGTGCGTCAACACTTGATCGTGGTGGGAAAGAGAACGGGAGTAGAAGTGGGAGGGTGGGTAGATGAAGGCGTGGGAAGGCTACGTTAATAAATCGACCAAAGGAAACGGGGAGGTAGAAAGAAGCGCATGTCGGCGAACAAGGTTAACGGAGGACGGAGAAGACAGGGCCCAACCTGGTGGACCTTGGCCCCCGGTAACTAGGTGAGGTACATAGAAGGCAGGAGCGGGCAGGAAGCAGGATGGGGCCAATTCGTTCCTTCCCTTGGACTTTGGAGGTGAATGGACTCTTTGATGCATGGCGATGGATATCCACACGCCTCCATCCCTCCTTCCTTCTTTGCCTCCCTGTGTATGTACCTTAAGGTTCCTATGAGTTGGGTGAGTGGGCTGCTCTCTGTGGAAGAAGAACCCAAGAAGAGAAAAAAGCCGTTGGATAATTGGACGAAGTGAGGAAACGCAGCAGAGCCGACCAATCCGGTGGTGGTCCTCATGAAACACTGGCTTGGCCGCCCCCCGAGGGTTGTACCCTGCAGCTATTGGCAGGGACCTGTTAACCTCATCCAATCTCCCCTTCCTTGGCCGACGACCTTGGGCTCAGCAGCGAGGGTACATCTCGTTCCTCCTCTTTTCTGTGTCTTTCTTCGTACTTGCGTCGTTCCGCTGCATGATGCTCACCTCACCACGGCGGCTGCAGACTGCTTCCTCAATGTGATCCCACCGTAAACGCCAAGTGCCAAGATAGCCCGTTTAGCTCTGTTCGTTGAGGCTTGGGCAGAGACAACCAACCATCGTCTGGCACGCAGAGCTGGGCTTCCTCGGCGTTCTGGACTCTAATCTTCAGCCAAATTTAACTCTCAAGGGCAACCACGGCGCCAGCTGACGTTTCTATCCCAACATGGCAACGATACGAAGGCATGGGCCGAATGAAGCCAGAAAGCGATAGAGGTAGCCCGGTCGAGATAACAGATCAGCAGATCGCCATGAAGAGAGGTCCACGCCCCCAGGTTTGTCCGTCTGTGGTCAGTGCTGTGTTCGGACACTCACTGACCCAAACGACGGCTTCCGCATACGTGATTGTGGCTGGGACTTGGCTTGGTTCCCCAGGAAATATCCCCTACTGTACCTTATGGCTACACAAAGAAGCCGAGTAAACCTGTAAATGGACAAATTGATGGTTACCGGTTGATCACAATGGCCAATCGGGCGCCTTGGCTTTCCAAATTATTTTCAGGTCGTCCAAGAAACACAACACCCCAAACCCCCGGCGCCAGAGGTACCATCGCAGCTCTCGGGCCACCCTCGATTCACCTCCAGGGGTCATCGCCCCCGCCTATTACGGGGTTTTTGGGGTGGCAGTGACAGCGCCGGCGTTCCTGTCGGGAATGGTCTCTGTACCTGTCTCTCCGTGTCCGTGTGCTGATTGACTGACCTTCGACAGAATCAAGCTTACCACGGTGTGCGCCCAGTCAATCTCCAAGGGGTGTACCCATTGCCGAGTCCAGTGGAGACACCGGACGAGTCGCTCACCGTGGTTCGTCCTAAGCCCGAATGCCATCTCAAATCATCTCGTCATCCAATATGAACGGCCTATTCATCCGATGGTTAATCACGCATCACACTTCTACTTGGCAGGCAACACCCCAGCACTGCATGCCGTTCCAGCCCATGTTCTGATGCCGCGGAAGAACGGGTTGTCCATTGTCTTTCCACCCGGACGTTGTTTTACTTTTTTCTTCGCCTCCCACACGTTGCAACTTCAGGCCGTCGGTCTGCAGAAGAGACTGGCGATCACCTCGCTCCTTTTCATCAACCCACAGTGCGCCCCGGCTTTATAACCCGTTCTAGATCCGCTCTGTGATTAATGGCCCCAGGTCCAACTGTGTCGCGACCCAGTCTTCGCGGTCGGCAGAGAAGGAAGAAAGTCTTACACGAAAATCTGCGGGACGAAAAAGGGAATTTTCCGAGGAACAAAAAGAAAAGTAAAACCCCTAGAAAACCGCTCATGTTCCCCTCCACCCAACCCCTCCTTACAAGGCGTTGTGCCACATGGCGGCGGTCTGGCATTGGTTCTTTCGACGACTACGTTGATGTCGTTGATCCGCGGGCCCAGTCGTGGGACTCAGTGTTCCATGCTGTGGCAAGCCAGAGGAGAGGTCACATGGGACGACCGAAACGAGCTTATCGGAAGAAGACAAGGCCAGCTGTTACTCAACATCAGCAAGCGAGTCGAAGCGGCCTAAAACAAGATGAAAGGTTGCGGAAACGACTGATGAGCAAAAGTCAACCCCATCGCCAGCCGTGCACCGGTTTTTTGCAATCGCTGTTCCTGCATTAGCGGAAATGCTTCCCCGAGAGCCCTCGATTGGCTGCCCTGGACTTCCGTATGTAGTGGTGCACTCTATCCTAGCCGTGGCGAATCCTTATTCGACAACGTCGCAGGTCCCTGGTGCTGTTGCACGCTCTCCGTCTGCAGTCGTCGGTCACAGGCGGCAAAGCTACACTAGTCAGGGCGCATCGCATTGGATATACCGGCACACTACCCAGTCCTCCACTCGGACTTCAACCAGTCAGGCTTTCGATGCCGGCCGAAGTCATTCCACATACATCCACGTCCGCGAGCATACCTATACCACCAGGTCGCGGGCGCCGTTGCGTTAGTCTCCCGATTCTGACTGAGGCTACTGTGCCAGTGGATCAACCATCCCGAGTCCTGTCTTGCCCGAGGCGACCTTGCACGGCATTTCTGCGGCGTAAACTCAAACCAACACGTGAAAAAACTGATCGTCGCCTGTCCAAAGTCTCTCTTACACACAAACATTGGACCCCGCCACGTGGAAACGCCAAAAGATTTTCCCTTACCTCCCGTCCGATTGGCGCTGAGAACCAGTTTTCCTTGGCTACTACACGTGCCCGCCTGGGAATGGAACAACGTTGTACATACTGCAGGTACCTGAAAAGCACTCTTGAAAAGCGGATAGGCGAACGCATATCGACGTCCGGTTCGGCCCTAGCCCGCCACTTAACTCGACGACGACGAACCTGCAGGAGCAAGACCCAAAGCCCGTCCCGTCCGGACCTGCACATGGGAGTCCGCTCACACTCCTCGACCAGATCTCGGACAAGTGCCGCCGACCGCATGTGACTCACAACCTGTTCTAGAAATCCGCCGATGGGGATTGAGCGCGTTTTTTTTTCGAGCTCGAGTGATCGCCACAGCGGAATTGCAATGGAGGTGTGGACTCGAGAACCGGTCAGGGATGATGAGTCGGAGTTCGTGACTTTTGGACCAGCTTGTGAGCCCTACGAAATTTCTGGGAATGTTGATCACTTCGAAGCAACATAAGGTAATCTGTCGGTGGATACAAGTTACGGAGTACAGTACAACCCCGCCAATGGCATCGACGAGACTCTGCAAGAGGCCAGAAGCTCCAGCACTCACGACGTCAACTCAAGATACGTGGAGGGAATGACGGCATATGCAAAGGCTCAATGTCATGGTATCATTCGTCTCGCATCTACTCGGATGCCTTGGCCTTCTTCCCCCGGCGGGCTTTCGTTTCCCGGGCACTCTGCTCCGGCCGCCCCTCCTCGGCATCATCAACAAACACATCCTCGTCCTCCTCGGCCGCCGCAGTCCTCGCCCTGGTCTTTCTCTTCCCCGTGACCTTGGCTGGCGCCGACGCACCCTGCTGCTCCGCAACACCTGGCTGCTCGCCATTGGCGTTCGCCCTCAGCCTACTCACAGCGTCCGCCATTCTCTTGCTTGTCGTGCCCTTCTGCCTCGGTGCAAAGGCGTCTCTCGCACCAAGACCCACAGTCCCCTCAAAGTACCTCGTGATGTTCGCCTGTGTGCCCTCCATGTCGCGCTTGTTCATGTCCCGGATAACGGGGACCAGCACCTCGTCGGTGCGCTCCTTGCTCCACCCAATGGTCGCCATCAGAAACTGCCGTAGACCCTCGAGGTCCGGCACGCCCCACTGAAAGTGCTCGGAGCTGCTGTCGACCTCCGGGCGGAGGTACGCGTCCGTGACAGCCGGGTTTGGGAACCCCGTCGGGAGAAAGAGTTTCGTGGCCTGTGCCTTGCGGAACTTGCGTCGGAACGGCGACCCCGCATCAGCCTCCTTGGGGCGGTTGTTCATCTGTACGTCCTGCCACCACTCCTTGAACCTGTCGAGACCGTCCTTGCCGGGAAACTCAGAGAGGATCTCTACGGCCGTGACGGGACCGACGCCGGGCAGACCCTCAGTGTAATCCGACCCCAGGAGCTGGGCGATGGCGATGAGCTGATCGCGCGACAGGGAGAGCTCCTTCTCGAGGTCCGAGCCGAGGTAGCACTCAACAAACTTGTTGCTATTGAACATGTTCTTGTAGATGCGCGTGCCGCCAAACAGAAAGCAATCGGAGTCGTCGGTGACGATGCCGTCCACCAGACCCATCCGCACGAGCTCCGCGCACTGCGCCTCGGCCTCCATCGGCGCCGTGATGTAGGGAATGCCAAAGAGACGGAGCAGGGCCTGACACTCGGTAACCATGACCTGCGTGACCTCGTCGGCGTCTCGGCGGTCCTTCTTCTGTTGCGTGCGGAGGGCCTTGAGTTCCCTCTCATACGCCTCCTTGTTCTCATGCTCCGACTTGTTGTTCAGCTCGCTGGCAAAACGGGCGTGCTCTTCCGCTTCCTGAGCCAGGTTGGCGAACAGCTCCTCGTCCTCCGGGTCGCTGAACTCGTCGTCGCTTTCGGTGAAGCCGGCAGCCTCGGCGTCCTGTACGGGGTCGCCGGCCGTGTTGGGATCGTCCAACTGGGGCCCGTCCATGAGTTCTTCAAAGGTGAGCTCGTGTTCTTCCTCGGCAGGGCCCGGCTGTTCTGCATCGACCGTGGCGTCCTTCACGACTGGACCTGAAGACTCTGGCTCCTGTTGCTCCGCATCAACTGTGATGTCTTCCAATTCTGGTTCCGGAGAGTCGGGCACTTCCGTGACAGTGACTTCCATATCGTCGTTGGCATCCTGAGACCGGACGTCTTCGAAGTCGGGTTCGGGCGACGGTGACGGCTTGCGAGACGCAGTATCTGCCTTTTCTAAAGGTGCAGTCGCTGGGTCTTTCTTCTTGAGAGACTCGGTTTGTGCAGCTGAAGCAGCGTCGGTCGATGTGACTTCGTCAGCGAAAGCGATTTCCTCTTGAGTGACAGCCTGCTTCGGTGGCGGGGGCACATCAAGTATCTCAATATCGCTGCCTTCGTCATCGGACGACTGGATTTCAATGAGCTGGTTTTGCCTCTGGCGCTCAAATCGGCGTTCCTCTTCTATTGCCGCCTCCCGGTCTTCCGTGTTGATCTCGCTCTCCACCTGTCGTTGCTGCTTTATCGACTCTCGGATATCCGTGTTGTCCACCATCCAAGGGGGCAGTGGTTTAGGGCGATCTTCTGACGGGCCCCTCTCGAACCCACCTTCATCCTCATCGTCGGCGACTGGCTCCTCTTCAGTACCATCCGCTACGAAACCGCCACCGAATTCGGCGTCATCATTATTCTGCGCCGGCTTCTGTGCGTTTCGCGCGAGCTGCTTCTCTGGCACTGTATCTTCAGGCTTCTGTGACTGAGCCTTCATTGAAAAGAGAGAAGGGCCCCATGCGAGCTTAGGGAACGGCAATGGGCCATCGAAGGGGTTCTTGACGTTGGGCACCGCCGGTCTCGGCTGAGCTCTCTTATTCTGCCGGGACGCCTTCAGAGCTGCCTGCAAGTCCATCTCATCATCGCTGCTGCTGGCACTATTGGCGCGTCTCTTTGGGACGGCAGCAGTAGACCTGTTGTTGACGATGTGAGCCACCATGCGGCCGCTCCTTGCGGCAATTGGCTTGGGTCCCTCGACAGCCTTCTGCTTCCATGTTGGGGCTTCCATTTCCACATCTTCAAACTGTTCGTTCTCTTCAGAGTCCTCCGCCTCCTTGCCGTGCTGATTCTGCAGGGACATGGCAATGGCACGGTTGATATCGTCCTCCTCTTCAGGGTGCATTGCCTCGTCGCGTTGAGCGTGCGGCTTCCTTCGATCTTGTGTTTCAGGAGCATCGCCACCTACGAAGAGACTTTCTTCTTCCTCTTCAAAAAGGTCATTGGCCTCGCCTTCTCCTCGATTTCCGTACAGCTGCTGTCTTCGTAGAGCCGCTTCCCGAGATGCCTGCGCGGCCGCGCTAGATGACATCTTTGGCAGCCGGTTTAGCCCCTCGACAGGAACGTCTTCGAAATCGTCTTCGTCAGATTCCTCGACCTTCTCCTTTTTCTGAAATTGAAAGTCCAGAGCATCAACGTCAATGGGCTTGTGGGCCTCGCCTAGGTCTTTTTCTTTGCTCACGACACCCAGCGCCCAACCGCCCTCTGCTCCGTCATTCTTTACCAGGATGTACTCCCTGTCCTTCTCACCGGCGATTCTTCCACCGCCTGTCAAAGTGAGGTCAAGCCCGGTCATGCCGGCTTCCTTCATGAGGCGCTGGGTCAGGTTGTTCCGCTCGCGGACTCTCTCAATCTGAAACCTCGAAAACGCCATGCGATCCGGAAACATATCGTCCAGTTGCTCTTTGCTCAATCCCATCCTGAGACGACTCCTTAACCTGGCTGCGTTGAGGATGTTGTATCGGTCTGCGGCGGGCAGGCTCTGGAAGAACTCGCCATCAAAGTCGATCTTGCTAAAATCGTAAAGGTTGATATCCTCTCCGTTGTGAAATTGCCGCGCGTATTCCTCCAGCTCTTCGATGCTCATGATTCTGGGGTCTTCTGCCTTGGCCATTGACGCGATGTCGCCGTCAAGCTCGGGTAGATGGTACGCATCCTGCTTGAAGAACTTCCTCGTCTGCTGCCGCTCCTGCTGGGACATGCCGACCTCATCAACGTACACAATCTTGTCTGCATCGGGTATCTCCTCCTGAGGCTCCTCTCGTTCTCTCTGAATACCCCTATCTGCATCGCGTTTCCTCCTCTCCTCTTCCTCTTCCGCGATGCGCTGCATTTGCACAGCCAGCAGCTTCCCGGCAGTGCGGACGGCATCTTCCCTGCGGCCCTCGCGGCGTTGCTTGCGACCCTGGATCGTCTGGCGCTTAAGGGTCGGGGCGCCACCGTCGAAGACGAAGACGGGTTTGATGCCGAACCAAAGGAGCTTGCAGATGCGGCGGAAGAAACCGACGACATGGGAGTTGCGCAGCGCATTGCCCTCCTTGTCACGCACCGCTTTGAGGAACTGGTATATCCAAATGGACGCATCGACAGCGAGGCGCTTTCGGTTGAGGGTCGCGAGGTTCGTCGGGCGCGCGCAGGGCTGCACAACCGTCCAGAGGCCGTTCACACCCATGGCTAGGACGGGAGGGCAGAGGTGTTGGGTGCGGCAGCGTCGGATCGGCGTTCACGGAGGGGTGTGCTCGATGAGATGGTGGTTGCTGCGAGAAGCGCTCTTCTCATCTACCAAGTGGATATCGCATTGTATATGGTAGGCGCAATGTCCTGATTTGCTCCAAAATGCGCGGATCTCGAGGGTGCTGTCTAAAAATTCCGAGGAGACGATGACTCTCGTGAAGAATGGAGGCGGTCGCAGCTGCCTACAAGCCATTTACAAAGGGCTCTGGTCAATGACGCGCCTACCTCCACTGGAGGCGTCGTTATCGAGCCTTATCGGTTGGGGACGTGCGAGAGCGGCGGGGCTCGAGCCTCTGGCACCAACAACCACTGTCAGCGAAGCGCATCAGCGCAAACCTGTCGCCCCGAGTTAATCCGTCTTCTTCCCACGAACCCCCTCGACGACACCAGCAGAGCGATGCGCATCATCGCTGTCAAGGAGTCGCCATGGAAAAAGATGAGGGAAGAAACTTCTTGACCTCTCTTCTCAACAAGAACCTGCGCATCCTCACCACTGATGGGCGCATGTTTCTAGGCCAGTTCAAGTGCACAGATCCAGTAAACACCCCCTGCCGTCCTCCTCTTCAAGAATGCCTTTGCTGACAATCGAACTCATAACAGGACCGAAATGTCGTCTTAGCACATACCTACGAGTACCGCCAGCCGTCGGCGCTGCAGCGAGCTGAAGCAGCCCAGAAGGCGGCGGAAGGAACAGGCACCGTGACGATGGACATGACATCCCGATACCTAGGTTTGGTAGTTGTGCCGGGACAGTACATTGTCAAGATCGAGGTGGAAGAGTTTGCGAGCCAAATCAAGGGTCAGAATCCATACGCAGATATTGTCGTCTAGCTTGCAGGTCGCCTTGACTTTTATACCCATGTTTGAAAACCCGCAGATTCCATGACACTGGCTGAGGGATCAGAAGCTCAAGGAAAAGGTCACGAATCACAACTTTAAGATTGGCATAATAACTGGACATTGAAACTACGGAAAGCACTGTTTTTGCCGTTACGACCATTCCACCCGACTTAATCATTGCAAATCAACCCTGACCAAACTGCCGAGGCACCAATTCCCAAAACACCAGAACCGAGCGCTATCCTTACTATCGTTGAAGTTCGAACATTACTGCTATTACGAGCTATATGCTCAAAGTGGTCCAAGCCCAACGTGAATGTGGGAAACATAAGCCCAGGATTAAAGCATCATGTTCTTATGCCACAATGCTCTCATGTTGACGACCTCTAGTTTCGCCGTTCAGACCATCGTCCGTGCCGGTAACGGAGTGGTGGATGTCGTCTTCTTCCTCTTCCTCATCCGTGTAATCCGCCTCCTTGTTGTGTGCCGGAGTCCACGATGAATCGTCGTTCAATGGGACGTCCTGCCCAGAGAGGTCGTGACCTCCCTCAGCACGCGCCCTAATGTTGTTCCTACGGCGCGTTGATAGAGTGCGAGCGCGGGTCGACAGCTTAGAAGAAACGGCGGCTTGGGATGTCACCCAATTGGTGAGGGCATCCTCGCAATCCTGGATAATGGCCTTGCTGGCCTCATAACCGTCGTAGGCCGCACGAGTTTCGCCAGGGGTGACAGGTGTGTCGTCAATGAGCTCAAGCAGATGCTTGCCGTACCCAGCGATAATGGCGACCTTCTCGCAGTGTTCTCTCAAAGCATCGAACTGGTAGGTGTACGCAGCCTTAATCTTTTCACGTGTAATGTTGGACAGCTGGGCTTCCGCAACAAGCGACTCGGCTTCGGCGCGTACCAGTTCCTGCTCGAGGACGACAATCTTGGGGGAATTGGGCTCCTTGTACTTGAGCTGGGCAATCTGATCGGTGATCTTCTGTTTACCTATGACCAATGGAGTCAGTAAGGGGTAGTGTGTAAATACGGACGGAGCCTGGCTTACGGTCTCGGCTTGGTTGAACCGAAGCCTCAATGTTGCGGATACTCTTGATCGTCACACGGTACTGATCATATCGGTCGACGTATTGGTCTTCAAGTTCGCCGATCTCGTAAAGCAGAACGCCGAGCTTGTCGGTGACATCGGAAACGTCCTCGTCGCAAGCCTCACCCCAAATGGAAAGTTGTTGCTGTGCATTCAAGGTCAGAGGGTGCATAGGAAAGGTGTGGCGATCGCGGACAACTTACAGCAACCTCCATGCGCTCTCTGGCCACTTGTTCGAGACTGCGCATCACATTCTTCTCCATCTTCACCAATTGCGACAACTTCTTTGCGAGGTCTGGCCCGAAAGCGCCAGCAGACTTGTGACGGAGAGCATGGCCTAGGCAGACCTGTTAGTCAATGCAACTATTGTCCAGGCTATGCGGCGCAGAGGAAGAGGACGGCGCAAGAGACACAAGGGGGGGCAACATACCAAAGCCACCACGAAACAGACGACCAGACTTGGTGGTGGAAGGAGGCGGGGGAGGGTTCTGCAAGCAAAGTCAGCATCATGCCGTGCAGCCGTAGCGAAAAGCAGATTGTGTTTTCGTGGCGCATACCTGGAGTTGGGAGGCAGTGGGCGCCCGCGTCTGGCGCATGGAGTATGTGCGATGCATGATGTTGATGTTTACGGCGACAGCGGTAGTGAGGCGGTAAGAAAGAGATGGTAGCCGTGGAAGGCGATCGATCGGGTATCGGAGAGAATCAAGCTTCGATGCAGTGGTGCGCTTGGAAGCAGGGTATCGTGAAGTGTGACAAGGGGTATAGGAGAGAAGAGATCAAATGACGGTCGGAACAAAAGGCCTGGGGTGATGCGAAGCCGGGTGTTTATATGTAGGCACCGGAAAGGGTTCAGTGTTGGTCTGCGACTGCGTCTAGGCTGGTGGATGTTGCGGAGGTGACGGGACTTTGATGAGGTGGGTGGTGGGCTGCAAAGGACGGACGACGCAGCACAAGGGTGGGCGCGCAGCGGCGGGAGGTGACGGCTGGCTTGGTTGTGTGTTCCCCTCCACTGGTCCGTTGGTCTCCCTCGTTGGTGCCTCTTTCGCGCTGACGACGTCATCAATGCCTCTAGCTCGTCTTTTTGGCGTTGTTCGCAGCGTCACCTAGCTAACCTGGTGCCTGCAGAAAAACACGGTACGTGGACAGGTACATGAACGTCGCCCCACACCCAAGGTACTCGTTGCGTTGTTTACAGCGGTTGCCATCTCGGTATCATCGCCAAAAGCTACAACCACCAAAGCTTTGACCATTGTCACTCACTTCCGCCCTTTTCTGGCCGGCCTTAACTCGATATGGCCTGTCGACTTGACGAACCTTACCTGACCAGCCCATGGTTGACTGACGGCAGAAAGACGAAGAACACGGCACCGCACCGCACCGCACCGCACCAATCCCAGGCGAGGGAAGAGGCTCCCACGTCCACCCGGATCCCCTCGCACAGCCATGATGATCGTCATCCGGGATGGCGCCGTCTCTTCGAACCCTTTGCCCAGTCTGGGTTCATGAAACAAACGGCTGGGGAATCGAGTAACTCTTTGGGACCAACTTGGGATGAGAAACGCAGCAAGCTTTCGACCCAAGCTGCAAGAAGGCCCCCCATCAACCCTTTTTTATCAGCTCCCTTTCCCAGGCCATCTGCAGGTCCCGACGGGGACACTCGACTGGTCCAGTGGGTTGGTCCATCTCAGCTTTTTTACCTTTCGACTGCCAGCTGTGTATGTAATCATCAATTCTCGGCGTAGAAGCAACGCACGATTCCCCTCCGCCTCAGATGCCTAATGCTCAGGTCATCATCAGACGTGGTTCAAGCGACTGCAGGCTCTGGAGATGGCTGGCCACAGGGCAGTGGTTTGGTCTCTCTATGGGATGGTCCGCCCGGCGTCCTCGGGGCATTAGTCAAATCAGACCTGTCCCTCGTCAAGGGTTCGGAAACTATCTTAGTGCGCCTGCCGTCCAGTCGTTGCGGTCGTACCGAGGCATTTTGAAGCTAAGTTGATTGCGCTGGGCCAAGTAAATGAGCGATGATTTCATAGATCTCCTCCAACTGCCAGACAGTGTCTTAGCGCAGGCTTTTCCCGTTGGTCTGACCTTTCAACCCCGGCCACATGTGCCTTTTCGACATGTTTGTCGGATTGAAACTATCCGGCTGCTAAGAGCAGACTCTAGTCCAAGGTCATGATAGCGGGTTGTGACACGACTCAGCGCCCATCTTTCTTGGTTACTGGAATGTTTGCTTCGATCATTGTGGAAACTAATGCTTGCTCGCTGGTGAAGTCAGAAGCAGCCTTGTCTTAACTCAACTTGGAGACTATCATCGTTTTTGACCAACTGGACAAACCAGCCCCCCCTCCCGATAATCGTAACTGTGAAGAAAGCCGTCTACGTTTCAGCAGTCAATCTCAAGAACGCTATGGGCTGTGCGTTGCCGTTCAGCCTGCTACGCTTGAACTGATTTTCCAGGGCGGACTATGTCGACCCACATTAGAATTTATGGTCTCGTGCTCAGTTGTTAGGGACTCAAGAGAAGTTTGCAACTTGCTAGCTCCTAGGGTCCACGCATTGAAGGGGAGACCGATATAGACAAGAAATAGCACCGCAGCTAGGCTTCTCCAGAAAAGTATTCATCGGTCTACTGTTCAGCCACAACTACGCACATTTGTCATCCGTCGAGACCTGTGCGACGACTCTGTAAACGACTGACGCTGTGAGACCTCGCATTTGGGGGAAGAAAACTGGGGGAGAAGCTCAAAGTCATTTTGCATGGTTTCGTAGTTTCCATTGAAAACTCCATGTCTCAAGCGGATTTACCAAACACTAACGTCGGGCAGGGGATATAAGGCAAAAGTGTTGTCAACAAACAATTGGACGAGTTTAAGAACGAGGTGAATGTTCCTGATGCAGTGCACCATCCCACCTTAGGAACAATGGTAAGGCCTGCTCAAAAACACCAATTGATGGAACGGCAGGCAAGCAAGCCTCCTCTAAACAAGTTCCGGAAGTAAATGTCCAGCCATCAGTCGCAAGTTGCGGAAATCAGTTAGAAGGAGCCAGATGTCTGCACGGCTTTGTATCGGGTGGCTCGAGGTGCAATCCCTGCCCCCCGCTCTTTTTTGGGTCTAGCGCCTTGCAATCTCTCCCTCCAGCTCTTTCCTTCCCTGAACGCGCTTAGCCTCGCAGTTCACCAACGCGTCTCACAGTATCTCATCTCTTCTCTCATCATCAACCTCATCTCAACGAGACGACTTTGGTGGACACCCACGCCTACATCCATCTTCAACCATCTCACGGCCTTTGGAACTTTGCTGCGCTATCTTCGTACGCCCACTCACCGCAGCCTGGCATGGTAGTTTCTTAGCCAATGTTTACAGGCTTCACTGACGCTGACCACGGGGGCGAGGACATGGTGAACGACCGTGTCTACGTCTGTGTTTGCGCTTGCAAGTGAGGGGGACATTGCAGCCACCAGAGGCTCAAGAGGAGGCTGCAACTATTGCTGCTTCCTTCGCGCCTCCCGCTAACTTCCTTTTCCTCGATATGTCTCCCTTCCGCGCTGGGACCGACCGGGACACTCCTACTCAAAGAGGTCCCTACAACGACTACGCCAGTTTTCGCCCCGTCAGCGACCGGGTTACTCCTGACGACGCTCAACCCGAGCCTCACTCTCATACTCATGAACAGTCGCCAAAGAAGATTGATATCATCGACTTGACCATCAACTCAAGTCCGCTCTCGCGCCCACAGGTTCATCACGACTCGGATGCCGACCGCACGCCACTCGCCGCAACCAAGGTCGAGGCCAGCCAAGCTCACCCGGATTTTTCATTGAGCTCCGCACATTGCCTTTCGGACCCCAGCGGAGGCTCAACCGCTGTTTCCAGCAATGCGGCCTCAGTTCTGGACCCTTCGCCTCCGCCCGTATCAATTCAGCCCTCAGTCTCGTCTGTCGACCTCGACGACAGTTTTGATGCCGAGATGCCTCGGCCAGCGCGGCCCGAAGGCTTTCTGAAGACCCCTCAGCAGATGACGCCGCCGTCGTCTACGCGTCCATCAAGCCACCAGTCTCCCAAGGATGGCGCTATCTCCAAGAAGCAGACCCCGAAGAAGGACATTCCCGATGTCATGCAGCTTGTCACTTTGCTGAAAGGTTACTCTGCCGATATTGGCAAGGCTCATTCGCGACTAGCTCTCTACGCCCTCGAATCTACCAAGCCCATTGAAACACGTGTCAAGACCGGCGTTGACTTCTTTGCCAACGTCAAGCTTAATCCAGTTGAAGAACAGGAGGGGACAACAATGTCAATTAGAACTAAGGTCAGTATGATGAATCTATTTTCATCCGGACAGATGTGCTCTAAAAAGCTCGATACTGACCTTGCTGTAGCAACATTTCCGCGGGAGGAAGTCTGACCAAGCCAAAACTGCGCACTATATGCCGACCTGTGTCAAGTCTAACAAGCCTGCCGTGCCCAAGTACCGGTTTCATCACACAGAAATCGTAAAAAATTTCCTTTCTCCTAACTCCCTGCTCAAGTTCGTGCCTGTCATTCGAGACCTTGCGCCCGAGGAAGAGCGAAAGTACAACACCTGGTTGGGGGAATTGGAGAGGATGGATGAGAGTTGTGGTTTCAAGACTCTGGGAAGTCGTGACCAACGAGTCAATCGAACTATCAAGAAGGAGAGGACTGCCACCTTGTCGCTATTCCTGGACTCATGGCTCAAAAAACTTGCCATCGATAACTGCAACCGAACCACATTAATTCGCCACATGGCTAGCTCAAACCTCGACGACGCCATCACGCCACAGCAGAAATCAAGCCTTGTCAACTTGCACAGCGACGACAACGTGGTTGCAACACCAAGAGCCCTCAAGGCAGCAAGGGTATTCACCGATGCTTTTGATCAGGTTTTCTACCATAGCGGTCCCCAGAATATGGGAATCCTGTTATCAGATGTTTTAAAGCTCGACAAGTCCGTTGACGAGATTGTCGAAACGAAGAAGACAGCCAAGGTTGGTCAGGACGACAGCGACAAGGTGGATTCTCTTGAACACTGGATTGAAACCCATACAGTAATGGGGTGCCTAATATGCTACAGCAACTCGTGCGAGCATGGAGACTACAGTCTGGAAAATCACAAACGCAACTTTTCCATGGACTGCATCGGAATGTATGGGCGGATGTTCTCGGCAAACCGAGTCTTGTCTTCCAAAGATCCCATTGAGCATGCGCAATCTCCGCTGCCGTGCAAGCGACAGTGCTATCGAATTCACGGCATTGGTAGCACTGATGCCCAGTCGAGGTCATGGACTGAAGACGAGACGTTTTTGCTCCGCAGTCTTTTCTCCATCCTGGATCACAACAAAGTCCGAGTCAAGGCTCAGTGCGCCACCGCGGAGATCCTAGACAGAGAATGTTGGGATGTGCATCGGCATTTGCAATCCCTCGACATCAAGCTCCCGCCTATTACAACCGTCGATCAACCAAGAGCCAAGAATCTTCCTTGGTACGATCGCAAGAAGAAGATGCTCATCGGTGACTGGCAGGATCACACCAACTCCCATGACACCAAGGTGCGCCCATCTAACGATCCGTGTCATCACGAGGGCCCCTGCACTGTCGAAAACGAGTGCCCCTGTGTTCTGAACGACATACTCTGTGAACGCTTCTGCCGCTGTACGGAGGATTGTTGCGCGTACAAGTTCACAGGCTGTGCCTGTCATGCCACCGGCAAGACATGCTTGCAGAAGCAGAAAGAAGGCCGGCCTTGCATCTGCGTACAACTGAACCGCGAATGCGATCCGGACCTCTGTGGAACATGCGGTGCCGCGGAACGCGCAGATCCCGCGAATCGGCACGACGATGCGCTCTTTCAAACAGGCTGTCAAAATACCGCCATTCAACGAGGTGTCAGTAAAGCCGTCATCCTCGGTAAAAGCCAGCTGGAAGGCTGCGGTTACGGTCTGTTTACGGCGGAAGACATTGCCCAGGACGAGTTTGTCATCGAATACACGGGCGAACTCATTGTTGCGGACGAAGGAGTCAGGAGAGAGGCCAGGCGTGGCGAAGCTTTCTCCATAGAGAAGAGTACGTCTTACGTGTTCAGTCTCTTGGACTATGAGGGCATATGGGTCGACGCTGCGATTTATGGCAACCTCAGTCGCTATATTAATCACGCTGTGGAGAACGCCAATGTGCAACCGGGCATTCTCTATGTCAATGGCGAATTCCGCATTCGATTTACTGCCACTCGTAATATCAAGGCCGGCGAAGAGCTCTTCTTCAACTATGGCGAGAATTTCCCCAATCTTACGGAGAAAATGATCAAAGAGAAAGCCGGAGACGGCGAGGAAGGTCCAGAGGAGGGCACAGTACCAGTGAAACGCGGACGGGGCGGCGGCCGCCGCCGGGCGACAACCGGCACCGAGAAACCAGCTACACAGAGGCTCACAAAGGCAAAGATTGCCAAAAGCGTCAATACGGGGGCTCGTAAGGAGGCGCCAAAGGTGGTAGTGGACGACTATGAGGCTTTGGCCGACTTCGACGCAATGCCTGGTCCGAATCGAAAGCGAAAGCGAGTCGCAAAAAGCGACGATGAGGATGAAGAGTTCCATCCGTCTTTGGAATCCGAGGAAAATGCCGATGTTCGAGGCGCGCAAAAGCGTGTGTCGACATCTCGCCGACGAGGTGGGATCCGCCGCGTGAGATCGATGGGATCCATTGTGCCTTCGGACTCGGAAGTAGAGGGCTCAACGAAGGCGACACCTCGTGGCAAGCGTAGTCAAGGACGTTCTTCTGGTTCTCAACTTGCTAGCGGGTCCCAGCCGACGGCGAAGGATCTTGAAAATTCTGTGAAGCCGGCAAACGGCACACCGCCACCGAAGAAGCGTCGCGGTCGTCCACCCAAGAATCCTCGTCCGCCTAGCCCAGTTGTGTCAAAGGAGCCAAAGGCTGAACATGTCGAAAACGAGATCCGCGCTCATTCGAACATTGTTCGACATCCAGAAGCCGATGGTGATACGATTTCCGTCGATCTGAACCAACCTCCTAGGTCCGCCCGTGGGCGTAAAGTCACTGCAGCCAGCTTCAGCCAGTCAAACGAAGATCCAATGGACATTGATAAAAGTGAGCCAGAGGTTGGCGCGACTCCAACACGGTCTAGAGGCCGAAGAAGGACTGGGGAAACCACTATTACGGCTCGAGGACCATCGCGGACTGGACGTACAACCCGTCGTCTGGCTACTGAAACAGACGCCGCCTTGGAGTCGGATGATGAGCCTCTGACCCTGACTCCAGCATCCAAGCGAAAACACATGCAGAAGCGGGTGCTGGGTCCCCTGGAGAACAACGATAGCGAGTCCAGTTATAAGCTGCCAGGCGCTGGCACAGACTCTGACGATGACGACGAGCCTATATCTTCTCTCAGTCGTTCCTCCAGGAAGAAGAAATTGCCAGCTCGGTTTCGATTGTCGTCAGACGAGGAGTCCTGAGGATATGAACTTTCAACACTTTTGAAAATAAGAATGCTGGGCGCAGGTCCATCTGGTGCTGCCCCGCGAAGGCGATGTATGAAATGACGGACGAAGAGGGTGATGTTGGGGAGGTAATTCGGGCTTGGATTTTGCATTCACAAACGGCATCCAGTTGGCGGGTCTCACCAGTCTTCTCACAGTGCTAACTTATGCGTGATATCTGGCCGCTTGGCTGAGGTGTACATTTAATTGGCGCATTCAGGAGTACAAAGCATACATCGTGCTTACCGCGGATGGGACGCGTGGCATAGTCTCTACATGGACAAACGCATTAGCTTCCGAATATACGTACTTGCATGCAGTTGTGTCATCTGGTTTAGTCATGAGAGGACGGGCGGCTTGGCTGTGTCGTTGATGTGCTGATAGTAACCCGAACTGCATGATTGAATACGAGGTGAATTCTTTATGGTTCAAATTGTGAAACTCGGGTTATCAATTCGGTTTCTTTCACTTATTTGGTCTCAAGTCTCAGTGAATCAAATTAGGTTCGACGTCGTGTTAGTATCGTTAGCCGACTTAGGCCGAGGAAATTCTTCGCCATTTACATAGCACAAGTCCCATATCCATGGGTAAGCAAATCGCCTGTCGCTGAGAGCAACGTCCTAGCTTCGGACACCACAACATTCTATGAGAAAGGTAAAGCTCTCGTCTCATGTTGACAGCAAACCACGGCGCGACATATTAATGTACATTTGTGCTCTTGCGGGCTACTTCTCTCCAGTCCTCAACAACTAGCATTACTGCTATCGGAACAGTTGAATGGAATTTCCATTGCCTGGCAACTCACAAGCCCCCCAAAGAGTTTCGATGCACATAGAGCCAAGGAGCCATCTTTCTTTCAGTTTTGATTTGAACGACAAGGGACGAGTAATGTGATGAACTGACAGTTACAGTTTCCAACAGGATTACCGTGTTTACCCTGAGACGAGAACTACTTTCTGCCTTTATCCACTCGCGATAGTCTTTCTGGACGTCCGTCACTGCAATTCAAAATTATCTTCTTTGCTACTTGCTTTGATCCTATGCCTCAGAACCAGAGAAACTAGGAATACGGCACTTGGACCCAATGGTATATTTTCATGTCACATGTATGGGGCGAAATATTGACGACATTGAGCACATTCAAACTTTCAGAGAAAGATGGTGTCATTTTGTTTTTTCCCCAAAAAAAAGTCTTGTTAATACTTACTAGATTACTAATGAGAAGCAACAAAAGCTAGTAGAAATCATTTACAGCTGCGGTTTGCAGCTTGTGTGTTGGTGGTTTGAATTAGTGGGTTGCGTCTTGCTAAGATACTCACATGACGCCAGGCAAAGTGTTGAGATTGTATTCTCTTCTCTGCATTGATCACTATATGCCGTCAATTTCGAACCTCAGGTCCGTTGTTGGTTTCTCATCTAAGTTCTCTCAGGAAGGCTAAAAGAATGGGAGTGGAGGGGAATTACGTCACAGAAGTAAAGGCAAATGAAAGAAGGCTCTCGATGTCTATCCAAAGTACGTTGTGAGTGAAGTTACTCGTTGTACAAAGCCTTCGCGCTGCTGTATTTCTACTTCAAGTCTTTTACTGTCTGTAGCGCTCATTTCCTTTCAATTCTTGGATGCTCGGATTTTGCGTCTCCTACGATAGAAGGCAGCGGGACCAAGGGCAATTGTAGTCAGAAAATTCAAACCAAATCGACATCAAAGAATAGTTCGCAGGGGGTTGCGCGCTAAGCCTCAAGTTGCTCTATCTTTTTTTTATTTTACCAAAAAGAAATTTCAACCCAAAACCCGTATAAAAGCTCCATATGTTTACATAGAGCTGAAAGATGGTTTTTGTTTCGCGGGTACTGTCCTGTGGACTTTGGGAGCAATATGGATTGTGCTCTTCTACTTATATAAGCTAATACGTAGATCTAAATAGATAATGCGTGGATTGAGGATTGAGGTGGTATTTCTGGGCAGTCTGGGACATCATTTTAGGTAGTTGCTTCAAGACATCCATTCAATATACCCTCGTTAAGCTCTTACCTTTCATCGTTAGTTAGATTTGTGCTGTGTATACTTGTTAAGACTTTGCCTATATGCAACGGAAAATCTCTTTCTTTGCACGAACCTGCTATTTGCTGGACAGTCACAGCTTCAGTCTGGCTGACGTTATCCTCTATATTCTTTTTACCCTAGGCCCTTGTCTCAAGCTCATCCCTGCGTTGATTTTCGGCTTACATACATCAAATTCAAATGAAGCAACATGGCTGCCGTGGAGACTTCTCGGTGACATCGAGAGTCGAAAGGGTTGATACGTGGATTGGCGAGACAGGTGTTTTCCGCGCACTGATGCTATGACAATACTTGAACTATTCATGCCACCCGTGTCTTACACTTGGTGAACAGGGGGGATACTTAGCTATCGGCATTGCGTAGTCTAGAGCAGCGCGGTTGCTACGAGAAAACGATAGATGGCAGAAGAGGAGACAACAAGGAGCTAGAAACGTGAGGCCACAGCTCTCGCAATGTCCTGGCCAAGTCATGCGCTTCGGGGCTTTCGAATCATCATGGTACACCTAGTGAATACGCCGATGCTTAGCTAATGAACTTAAAGTCAACGTCCAATGTCGCAGAATGGTAGAGAGCAGAGCACAGCTTGGTTCCCAAGTGTTTGATGTTGTATGACTCGCGCATCGGTCGGGCCCAGTTGCGGATCTGGAACTACAGATGCAGACCGACAACCCACCATCAACTGCGCAAAGGACAAACGAGGGCCTCTGAAGCCCGAGTACATTTTTTGTGTGTGTTGTTCTTCAGACAACTGCCAATAGCGATTGGTCGGTTAGAGATACTGTAAATATAAGGACCGGCCAGTGCCTCAAGGTTCAAGCACTCGGCATGTCGGCTGGTTGGCAAAATAACCTATTCACAGGGGCTTGGTTTGGATTCGATTGTTTCGATTCTTAACTTAAACTCTAAAGGCATCGAATGGATGCCAAACACGATGGAAATAACGGTCGAGGATGCTAAACCAGACCCACAATAAGGCGTAAAGTTCTCGCGGCTGGAGTCCTTTCGACACCAAACACTCCAGACGCCCATAACCCCGTAACCTCGATATATACAATCCACATGTTCTTATCATACAAACTCCACTTCGTCCTTTTTCTTTGAACTATCGCTTGAAATAGCTCTTTTCAAGTGTACGCAGTCCCATATATGAAACCGACGCAAAGGCGAAAGCGAGCTCAAAGCCAATGTCGCCACCAAAACTGCCACCGGCAAGCTTGCCAATAGGGCCGGTGAACCACGTCTGCGACATACCGAGAATGGCGCCCATGACGCCCATCAAGAAAGCCACCACAGCCGCGAAACCCGGCGGCAGACGAGATGGTGTCTCGTAGTCCTCGATGTCGTACCCGGTAATGCCGCGGCGGAAGACTAAGTGTTCAGTGAGGCTGATGCCCTCGTAAATGGCGAGCCAGTAGGCGATGATGAGCATGAAATTCTCAAGCCAGGCTTCGAATTGACTGTAGCCCGGAATGCTGATGGCGACGTAGACGCCAGTGCCGACGAAGACCCACACGAAGCGCGGCACCCGCTCCGTCTGCTTGGAAAGTACCTGCAGCGAGAGGGAGACGGAGTAGATGTTGGGGCAGTTGTTAGCGATGATGGACAGGGCGAGGATGACGAGGCAGAACTGGCCGAAGCCACCAAGGCGCGGTACGAGCACGGCAGAGAGCAGGCCGCCGATTCCGGAGTTGGCATAGGCGTCGGAGTAGGTCGGGTCGGAGACGCTCGCAGTCATGACAGCGGCGCCCAGAAGCTCGGTGAAGCAGAGGGTGAAGAAGAGCCCACAGAAGGTGACAAGGAAAACCTTCATGCGGGATGTGGACGCAGGGTAGTAGCATGTGTAGTCGGAGGCATAAGAAGTCCAACCAGTTGCGAAGCCGAAGACGCTTGCAGCGAACGAAAGGATGGAGCCTGCTTCGGAAGGCCCTGTACTCAGAGGCAGCATGTTGTTAAACTTTCCTGAGTGGGCGAAAACCCCGAGGACGATGAGGAAGATGATGGCGCAAGGTATCCAGGAGAATCGCTCGTAGATGTGGACTAAACGGTAGCCGAACGTGCAGATGATGAGCGTTGAAATAGCGATGACGAGGATACCGGCCCATCCAGGCATATCGTTGTTGACGGCGTGGAACAACTGAGCGCCGACGATGGTATTGACGGCTGACCAGCCCAGGCATGCCAGAATATTGAAGATGGCAACTGGATTGAGAAGTCAGTACGGCCCTTGTTTAGTTGCCTTCGCATACATACTCAGCTTGACTGCGTAGAACCCAAACCAGTACCGGGAGAGAACCATCTGTCGCAGTCCAAATTGGGGGCCGAAGGTCGAAAAGAAGCATACGGGCATGATACCCATAAAGTTGATAAAGATGATGGTCAAAGCCGTGTCGACGAAGCCGAGGCTGAATACGGGAATCGCCAGGACGCCGATGGCAAAGGACGATACAACCATGTTGGCCGAACTCCACTGTGAAAGGGTCAGAACGGTTCCCGGGATTAAGCGCAGCCATGGGCTGGACTTACCAACGTTCCGACGTTGGCGATGGTATCGTTGATTCGTTCATCTTCAGGGACCCGTTCAATGCCTCTTTGCTCTACACCAAACTTGCCTGCCAACCTCTGAAGCTTTGCGTAGGTGCTGGTGCCGGTTGCGAAGTCGGCCTCGTGGACGCCGCCGTCATTGCCCATGAATCCTTGCTCGACGTCGCTGGCCGCCTTCTTCTCCCCGGCGTTCGAAGAGACATCGCTCTTGGCCTCGAATATAGCCATCTTTCAGTTCTGTGCGGCGCTCCCGTTGTGTTGATTGTTAATTGGAATCGGGTCACCGGCAGTTCATAGCTTTACTCGATAGTCGACAAGGAGGCGGCGGCTGGTGTGGACGGGTAGATGTTTGACGGCAGATGTTCGACAGACACGAGCATATGCTCAACGCACTGGTGACTGTGAGGGGATGAAAGATCCACGACCGAAGCCAGGACACACGGTGGCGAGCGGGACAGTAATATTCATTGCGGAAAGTGGAGGAACCCTTATCAGGGCGCGACAGACGGCGGAGCGCGGGTTACTACACAGATTTCTGGACTCGAGATACGGCCTCGGTCGCGGGCCTTTTTTTTCTCTCTCGCAGAGCACAAACCAACTCTCTGACGCGAAAGTAGTGGGGGCACAATGGAGCGATCAAGATAAGAACCGCGCGGCATTGAAGACGTTTGATGGCCCACCGACGCGTCCCTGAAGGCGGGACCTGGTGTGGTTCGGAAGTAGGCCGGCACTTGACAGCCGTTTGGGATAGGTTCGGTAAGGGGAACTGGAGCTCTGGAGAGTGAGCTAGAAGAAGAATTGGGAGGCGAAGTTCGGACATTCCGGGCTGATGTGCCCAATAACGGGTCCTGAGGCAAAAGAGAGATTCTGGGTCGTCGTCGGTCAAGATGGAGGCCGTCACGCGACAGTTGCGGATGCCACTCGCTAAGATCTCGGAATGCGTGCTGGATGCGACTTTGCCGCGATCACCGTCCAGTGTCGGGCGAGAAGGTCGAAAAGGGGCGTTCGTCTATTGCAAAGTTCCATTGTTGCTGGCAGCATATCGGCAGAAAGGGTAGGTTGGTAGGGATCGGCCACACAACTTTGCGACTGGGGAGTCCGTGAACTTGCGGCGCGGGAGACGAATTAGAAGAGAGGGCCGTCACGCAAAGTCAAGATTTGAACCCACACTCGAGTATTGCCGATGGGTCCCTTATCTTGGCCCCCATATTTCCCCGATACCCAGGAGAGTTGACGGAGCTCCAATTGGCTATCAAGGCGCAGGGTTTCCGCCGTGGGGCCAGAGCTAGCTGCCGCAGAGCCGAATTGCATGAGACGAATAGAGATTGGCGATGGCTTTCTCCCAGGCTTTGCTTTACGTAGTGCTGAAGACACGACGAACCTGGGGTCTCCGGATAGCGAGGGCATGAAGAAACGCCACGCGAGCCCCCGGACGTCTGGAGATAGGGGCTCTCCGCCATATCTCGAGCAAGAACGAGAGCCAGGTCATCAAGTGACGGAGCAGGAAACGGCCGAAGTGCGAACGAGGGCAGCAGCAAGCAGAGACGATCATAGTGTACCTAACGAAAGGGAACAGCCGCCCACAATCAAGGGCAGGGTTCGTGCGCACAAAGCTTAGCGTTCGGTGCATTTCGCCCAGTGGACCGGGTCTGCCTCGCCAAGCCTTCCATAGACGTCAGCCTTTAGCTGTATGGAAGAAAGGTCAGCATCATTGCCTCCATCACTACGCGCCATGTTGCGCTGGAAAAAAGGCACAAGTGCCTTGCGTGCATGGCACGTACTCCACCTGTCCCGAGCATCCGGAGGGACTGATCCATTCCCATTCTTTCCCAATATCTGGAGGCATGGCAAGATCGCAACCGTCTTAGCCAGCACAAATGCGTGCTGCATTCTCTGCTCTGCCAACCCGAGGTTGGAATCCGCACTTGCCACCGGCCCCATCTGGCTTCGGTTCTCAAGCCCTCCCTCGTTGGTGCTTGCACGGCAACAGTTGTTCCCCGATGAATGCAGTGACTGGACTGCATACGTGTTCATGTGCCAACAGCGATGGCATTTTTACGCGTTGCGAACCGACAAAGATGCTCACCAGGCAATCGCTTCCTCGGACTACGGGGGCATCTCCTCGTCGTCGCTTCCTGGAAGGAAAACGCAGCCACTCTTTGTCTAATCCCCTCGTCGAGGCGTCACCTTGCTCAAGCCTTTGGGGAACCAAGTGGCACAACCATGGAAACGTTCGGCGGCATGTTGGAAAGAAAACGAGTCGGGTCATACCAACCACAGCCTGGCATGTCTTAATGGTGAGCGGGACACGGCATGATTGTTGATGGCGCTACTGTGGCAGGAACGCGGCAGCCTCTATGTCTCGCGGCCCTCCAGATGATGCGCGCATGTGAGTACATGATTGGGGTGGAAAGCCAAGTCGAGTCTAGAGATGCCTCTTGCTGCGTTTGTCCTCTTCCTGAAACCCCTCGTTGACGCAGGGAAGCAACACCGCAGTCTACTATCCGATAAACACCACCTGGGCGCTCCCTTCCGACTCTCGTGGAACCAACCCACATGTGCGACAAACATCCGAGCTTTTGGCTGCTGGTAGCACACCTCGTCCACCGTACGTACCTACCTCGGCCGCCGCTTGGGGCAACGTCTACCGGCTTCTCGCCCACAGTGCTGGATTCCCGCCGATCGCCGTCGGGTTGTTGCATGGACTCGAGCGGTCGCCAAAACGGCGAGTTACAACGTGTGGTCAAAAACCACAGTCCGCCGTCGACCACTGCGCGATCCGAACGGCCTCCGGATCAGGCCTGGGTCAGTGGACAAAAGGGAGATTCATCATGCTCGCACAGCCAAGGCGCAATCCCCGAAGAGACCTCGGCAACAAGCCACGCCTTCCCATGGTCTGATGGGTCGAGACAAGCGCGCAAGACAAGAACCAAAACATGGCCAATGGTTCACTGCTGGCTTTTCAATGGCAAACGGAGCCTCCCGACTTGGATGTCATTGGTCGCTTTCCGTTTCACGCACTCTATCTGCGTCCGCCATCGGCTTATGTTCTTGTCTTCCCTCAGCCACAGTTTCTATTCGCGTCTTGCCGTTCGCCGAACCGCGCCTCACTCTTTCGTCAGAGTCTTCCAATCGTAGAACTCAGCCCCCCACTACTCTGTACAAGCCCGCCAAGCCCCCCTGTCCTAGCTAGTCTCGCGCCCTCAGCTACGCTGTCTGCACAGACAATATTCCCAGCATTCTCGGTCCCTGCCGGCCACTAGCCGCTATCGAGAAAAGAGTTTGCGACAAACTGCCAGTAGTGTTTGTATCCCTTCGTATGGTCTCGGTCACAGCAAACGATGTCGCTGTCCAAGTGAATCGGCGCCTGCAAGCCATTCCCTTCATGCTCATGCCCTACATCCTCGTGGTCTCTTTCCAGGCAGATCTTGACCCATCAACAAACACCTTGGCAGATCCATTCTCGACGAGTACCTAGGTCCCTGTAGATACCTCACCCAGCAAGTGTCAGGCCGAAGGCAGCAATTGCCGATGAGACCATGTGTGTCCGTCAGGGAAATGGCAAGCTGCTGTGTCTTAGTGACACATGCAGGTCTTGCGAATATGGAATATGAAGGGGAGTGACTTTTGGCCGCACACAAATCCCGCTCTTATCCCTTTCGTCCATCATTGCTTTCTAGAGCATACCAACATGCGTCCATGAGCCCCTCGCCCCCAACGGTGCTCGACCTCGGCTCCCGGCGCCCTGCCGTGAGCGGGAGATGGGCGTTGATTACGGTTCGAACCAACAAGTTGCGAGGTGTGGCGCGGACTAACGCCGTCACCCATGGCTCCCGCAGAGTTCCCCATCAGAGCAACGCTCGTATACGTTCTGTTTGTTTGTTCGTATTAAAGAGCATTCCTCCCGCCCTGTCATGACCACGCCCTGGCCCACCACATCCTGCCAGTTGCACAGTTTGCATCTCTATCGAGAGGGTTCTTTAGTCTTTTATTTGCCCCATCTCCTCTCGCTTCTAGTCTGTTTCATCGAGGGTTTTCACTACTCCCAACTCACTCGCTGTCTTCAACAAACCGACATACCATCACCACCTCCCGTAGTTGAACCACTTGAGCATCTTCTACCCTTCCGACTCTGCTGCCAGTCTCTTGACTATACACGAAGCAAGTATGCAGCTGCCTACGATCCTGCCAATGGCTCTTGCCATCGCCTCTCTCAGCGTCTTCGTCCAGGGCCGGCCGCTGCCCTGCCCAGATGTTCGTAACCATCCGCTGTGCCCAAGACAACCAAGACATTCTAACTGTATAGCAGGCAAAGCGTGACGATATCCTCAATGGCAAGGCCAACCCCGAGATTTGCTGCTCATACGGCATCTGCAAGGGCGATGTCGTGGTCAGGAGCGGCTGAACGAGCCGACTTGAATCCAAACGGCTCAATGGTAGCGGTGTGCGATGGTTCGTAAACAAAATCAACGGCTGCCAACGGCAACGACAACATCAAAGCGTTGGCCATATCGCAGTTTGCGTCTCGCGCTTCTCACCATATGCCCACACGCTCTCCCTCTCCCTCTCTCTCTCCCTCTCTCCCCCTCTCACATTCACCACACCATATGCATATATCGGCGTTCGAACAGGTCACATCATCGACAGCGACAAAACGGGCGCAACCATCGGCATCTTCCCGCACAGTTTGGCAGGGGGGATCCTTTTTCTTTGGCTGAACATGCATTCAGACTGCCTTTTTGGGATTGGTATGGAATTACGCGAAGAAGCAGGCCGTGCGTGCATGGCCCCTGCGGCATCTCTCGGTATCTTTGTGTGAATCTTGGTCAACGAATGGGATCCCCGGGGTTGGCTTCCGCACCCCGCCGGCCGGACCAAAGAATACAAGATACGCGGGGCGGTGGGTGCATGAGATGGCCGCACCGGCTTACAATGGGAAGGGAAACGCATGGCAAACTGGTCTCTCTTGTCGGCCGTCGTCGGTCGGTATGTCTGTTGAGGCATGGGGTCAAGTCAGCCGGGCTCAGGAATGGATGAGGCTTCACACAGAGCGGTGCCCGAAACAGTCATGTGGATGAAGCAACGTTGTGTGAATGCAGGCAAAGAATGAGCCATGCGGCGTGGCCGGGGCATTACGAGCCATGCCGTCAGCCACAGCCTCAGTAGTAGCAAAACAGAATTCGAATAGTTTATTGCAAGTACCAAGTGTCAGAGTCGCGCTGACTGGAGCGCCTCTCGGAAACATTTCGTGACCAAACCACCCCCCCACGTGTTCGTCCATTGGCCAATGTCTCGTATCATACCACCCGTTGGCTTTCGTTACGAGATAAGCGTTGCCCACCGCTAAGAGTTGCGCTCTCGCTTCGGAAGGGGCCCGCTGCTATGTCGGTCGACTCGCCGCCAGAGACCTCTTCTGCATCACGAATCGGGCGGGCTGATTGTCGTGTTGACCAGGCCCCGTGAGCCCTCTTACGAGGCCTTCCCCGCGAGGAATGTCTCGCTAGACACGACAAACCCATACGAGCCCTGCGATGCTTAGTGAGCGCCCAGTCGAACCGTGGCTTCCAATACGAGCACCAGAACCACACAAACGCGATCAAGCTGGAGGGAGGGGGAGGGGGGCACAAAGGGAGACGACTCACGGCGACATTGTACAGACAGACATCCTGGGCTCCGGGCGTCTTCGTCGCGCAACAGTCCTCGAGCATGACACAGTCCCACCCGGCGTTGTACGCGTCCGTCAGCGTGCTCAGGACGCACTGGTCCGTATTGACGCCGGCGAAGAGCAGTGTGCGCTTGCCCTGCCCCCCGCCGGCATCCGCACCCGACCCGGTCCGCCCCCCAGGTACCTCCGCAGCGGCTGGTCCGGGCTCCACAGGCCCGACATCCTGTTCTTGTCGCAGCGCACGTCCTCCGGGCGGGCGCTCTGCTTCAGCGGCTCGTAGATGTCGGCGTTCCACTCCCCGGCGACGAGGCAGCGGCCCTGGCCGTCGCCGAGGTCCGCGCCGAGGCCGAGGCGGACGACCTTGTCGTCCGACTCCCCGAGGATGAGCGACCGAGAGAAGCCGCGCTGGACGCTGGCGGGCATCGCTGCGAGGTCGTCGTCGGTCAGGCCCCAGTTTAGCCAAATTACCTGTGTTTCGCGTGTGCAACGGTGAGCTTTGCTATGTTACCTCCTGACCCCCTCGCCTGCCTCCCGTAAGACGCGGGGGGGAGGGAACGTCTGCCGGGGAGTCCCGAACGTCCCGACTGGCGGGAATGACAAACCGTACCTGGATGCCCAATTCGCGGCATTTCTCAATGGCCCTCTCGGTCTTCTCCACCGCAGCCAGGCCGGCCGGATGGTCTCGACACCTCGGGTGCAGGAAGTAGTTCTGCATGTCGACAATCACGAGCGCCGTGCTGTGGGGTGCCACCGAAATCGACGTCTCCACGGGCCCTTGGCTCGTGCCGACCGTCCAAGCCGGCGACCGGCCCCGGGTGAGATCATAGGTTCGCGATGGTCGCTCGTAGTGCCACTCGTCGCCCGGCGGGCCAAAGGTCAAGTCTGGGCGCATGACAAAGGGCGAAGGGGAGGGTTCCGAAGTTTCTCCTCGGATGTTCTAGCCCCGACTGCGGGTATTTCGTTTCGAGCGATTGGGCAATGTTGTATGTTTTTTTGAAGAGAATGAGAGACGAACACCATACATGCGACAGCACCAAGAAGATCCATTCGGTCGATAAGAAATCCCGCAGCGCAGCCCTTGCGTCGGGTCCAAGTGTCAACCACTTCCGTTACCCATCCATCCATTTATCCATTATCTATCGGGAAGGAGCATGCGTCGGCGCGGCTATTGGCCGATCCCTAGGCGAGCCGTGGTTGATTCCGGCCTACAGCAAGAGAAACATAAACAGTCTCATCACTCGGCCGCATACTGCATCGCCCTGCCAGCGCAGGAAAATCTCAGAAATGTCATTTGCTTCTATATGCGCGTATGGGCGGATAAGGCGAGCAGAGCACCTCCATGCAGGCGCATATTGGAAAAGGGAGGTGTAGGACCGAGGCACCATATTTACCCATGGTCTCTGCCGCATGCGATGGCCCAGACTTCTCTGTGCCTAGGGCGAAAGGGGGGCTTAGTTCGGGACCGGCCACCGTATTGTTTGGGGACTAGTAGAGTTGGTGCGCGAAGTCTATGTACAGAGTACGGATACAGCCAAGGCATCTTGCGTCGGGCACTGTCGCGATTCGTGGACCGACGTGGTCCACAACCAGCGACAATACAACGAGAAAGACGATGGACGAAGGAAGGAAATCTCAGAACCCCAACCGAAATCCCTGGTCCAGATACCACGTGAACGCATGAAAAAAAATCCCCGCGGGACGAGCGTTCAGCTGGTGGCCCCTCCCTGGGCGCCTGGACCTGCAAACTGCGAGACCAACCGCATCCAACAGGTGAGAGAAGCGCTTCGTTTGCACGAGCGTGTCGCGGGGGGATGGTTGATGTCGGGTACGGATCGGGGCCGTGATTGGAGCGGGAAGTCGCAAAGAGGAAAAATCGGTCTTACAGCGACCGAACAATTCCCACATTGCGGCAGTGCCCCACACCCTGCCAACAAGCTTCGACCCTGCGTGACGTTGCGACGTGGGGAACTGGGGTGAACTATTCGCCTCGAGGGGGCCGTCCTCGAGGGGTGATGAGGGGCTGGATTAAAGCATCGAGGGGCCGAAGAAGCTCCTGGTTGCTTGTCGACCCGGAATAAAACAAGAACAAAAAAAAAGCCCACGAGGTCTCCAAGGTATATAGCCGACCGAGTGGCCGTTCAGCCGTGTGGTTTGCGCTCCATTTGTGCCCTCTTTTGCTCGGTCTCCTTCGTCTCTCTTCGTTCCATCCTCCCGCTCTTCAGGCTTCCCGCCGTCGCTGTCAGTCGTCTCGTCGATCTCGCACCCACGTTTCATACCCCGCCGAATCCTTTTGTGGCAAAGACAGATCTTTTTGAACGTCTTTTTTTCTTCTTCCTGGAGCCCTGCTAGATCGTAAACATACACACAAGCTTAGAACTGGATTTTACAATGTCTCCCTCAGCTGTTGACCCTCCCGCGGCCGTCGGCTCCGTCAAGCCGTCCAAGGCCAACATTGGTGTTTTCACCAACCCCGCACACGACTTGTGGATCAACGAGGCCGAGCCCAAGTTGGAAGCTGTTCAGGCCGGAGAGGGATTGAAGCATGGCGAGGTCACCGTGGCGGTCCGAAGCACCGGCATTTGCGGGTAAGCATCTTGGCGACGCGCAACGTTACCCGGAAGAGAGGACGAAACTGACAAAACACGTACAGGTCAGACGTTCACTTTTGGAAGCACGGATGCATCGGTCCCATGATCGTCGACGGCGATCACATCCTCGGCCACGAGTCTGCCGGTGAGATTCTCGCCGTCCACCCTAGCGTCACCCACCTCAAGGTCGGCGACCGCGTCGCCATCGAGCCGAACGTCATCTGCAACGCCTGCGAGCCCTGCTTGACCGGCCGTTACAACGGCTGCGAGCAGGTCCAGTTCCTGTCTACCCCTCCTGTTCCGGGCCTCCTGCGCCGATATGTCAACCACCCTGCCGTCTGGTGCCACAAGATTGGCAACATGACATACGAGAACGGTGCGATGCTGGAGCCCCTGAGTGTCGCTCTTGCCGGCATGCAGCGTGCCGGCGTGCGCCTCGGCGACCCGGTCCTCGTCTGCGGTGCAGGCCCCATTGGTCTCATCACCCTTCTCTGTGCCAAGGCCGCCGGTGCCTGCCCGTTAGTTGTCACTGACATTGACGACGGACGTCTCGCTTTCGCCAAGGAGCTGGTTCCCACGGCCATCACCCACAAGGTCGGCCGCGGAACTGCCGAGGAGGAGGCGAAGCGCATCGTCGAGTCTTTCGGAGGCGTCGAGCCCGCTGTGGCCATGGAGTGCACCGGTGTCGAGAGCAGTATCGCTTCCGCCGTCTGGGCCAGCAAGTTTGGTGGCAAGGTCTTCATCATTGGTGTTGGCCGCAACGAGATCAACTTCCCCTTCATGCGCGCCAGTGTTCGCGAGGTCGACATCCAGCTGCAGTACCGCTACTGCAACACATGGCCCCGAGCCATCCGACTAGTGGAGAGCGGTGTGGTTGACCTCAGCAAGCTGGTGACGCACAAGTTCAAGCTTGAGGATGCCCTCGGCGCCTTCGAGGCGGCCAGAGACCCCAAATCGGGTGCTATCAAGGTCATGATCCAGAGCTTGGACTAAGCTACGTAGGTGACATGGTTGGTGTTTTGGGCATAATCCGGCGGTGTTGGCGATTTGGTGTCATGGATGGCTTTTTTCCAGGATATAATTTAGACATGTTACCAATGAATTCGTATGATGACACTAGACGCTGTGCAGTTGGTGTTTGCGAGTAAGCGCTCCACGACGAAGGTGATGATTGAACCTGGTGTGAGTGACGGTGGAGGTGGAATCGTGGTGCAGTGTGAATGATGTTGACTTTGTGAAGCATGGGGTCAGGAGTGACGAGAGTCATCCGTACCAAAGGAAGTTTCACGAGAGGAGGCAGCCGACCAAGATGCAGCATTCATCGCAAAGACGTCCAACCGCCTTGCTGCTCGTCTGTTGAGTTCACCACACTCTCTTTTCTTATGGCAGCAAGAGCTGCACTGGACAGTGCAGGGAGTCACTCCACTTATCCTGGAATGATATACCACATGATTGGTCATATCCATAAGCGGCATAGCCCGTTGGGCCATCTGGGTGCACCTACCTCCTGCCCCCTGCTGGTAAGGTACGCCGTCCCTTGTACCTGACCTCAGGCCTTGCCTTTGCCTGGGCAATTGGATTTTTCATCACTTGCCTTGGCCAGCGCGCAGCCAGCAGCCAGCAGCCAGCGAGAAAAAAGCACGCACGGGCCATTCGTCCGGCTCGCAACAACAGCACAAGCGAAATCTTCCGAGAGGTCGGAGGCAGAGTCTGGCAAGAGAGCTCTTTTTTTCACCTTCACGCAAAAACACACACCCCCATCACCACCCCCTTCCCCATCAATTGGCCGCCAACGAAGCTCCCTCTTCGACCCCGGAGCCGCCCACATCGACGCTTCCCGATCCGAGATCCAGATCCCCCGACTTTTAATCCCCTTCTCCCGACGTCGACGTCTTCAACCCCCTTCGGTCCCAAAATGTCTTCCGCCCTCGCCCGCCCGCTGATGCGGACCACCGCTCGCACTCTCCCTTCGCGTGTCGCCGCCCGTTTCGAGTCCACCACCACCAAGAAGGCCACCGAGTCCGCAAAGGACGCCGCTGCCAAGGCCAGCGAGTACTCGGCCAAGGCTGCTCAGGGCTTGAGCCGCGCCGCCAGCGCCGCCGGTCCTGCTCTCTCCGGTGCCGTCAGCGCCCTCGGCAAGGTCGGCGGCCGCACCGGCAAGGTCATCAACTTCATCGAGAGTACGTTTTACCCGCCACCAGGTGTCCTATGAGGAGTGGCGCAATTGAGTGCGTCCTCCAAGTTTGGTAGGCCAATTGCTGACGGATATACGACTCCAGAGCAGGTTCCCTGGGTCATCTACTACTCCCGCGTCGGCCTTGAGCTGTCCAAGATCGTCTTCCACGGCCAGAAGATGGCTCCTCCGTAAGTCGGTTTGATGTCAGCATGGGCTCTCCAGCTTCTAACGATCGATTTAGCCCCGTCAGCACCTTCCAGTCCTACTTCCAGAACGCCCTGGGCGTCCTGAGGAACCCCAGCACCCTCCTGAACTCGGTGTCCTCGACCGCCGGCTCTGCTGCCTCCGCCGCCGCCGCCAAGCCCGCTACCCTCGCCTCGCGCATCAACACCGGCACCGTGGCCTTCGGTGCCGTTGTTGCCGCCGAGTGCCTTGGTTTCTTCACCGTCGGCGAGATGATCGGCCGCTTCAAGATTGTCGGCTACCACGGCGAGACCCATGCCGCCCACCACTAAACGTGCGAACTTCGAGCCTCCCAGTCTCGTATCGATTCAAAGGGAAAACGGGATGGGAGCTGGTTTGTTCCTCATTAATTCAAACTGCATCTAAAGAAAAGAGCGCAAATGGTGGTATCGGGATATAGAAATTGGTGGAGGGGGGTGTTTTTGGAACCATGATGTGAATGCTCGATGCCCGTGGTAGAGGTTCATGTATCCAGTCACGCAGCTCCCGGTCGAGATTTGTTCGACCGCTACGGAGCTGTTGTCTGGGAAACGCAGAAAGAGAACGGTCTGACGACCTTGGATCCGGTCGTCAGGCCGCTTCCTCGACAGGCACCTTATTATTTCCTTATGTAGACTCTGTACATCACACGTCAACCGCAGCCTACGCACGCTGCGAAACCTGTCTCCTGCAGGTAAATAAACAGGAAACCTTTTGAACCACTCTTCCCGTCCTTGCGTCTCGGACGAGGCTTCCCTTCATCTGATATCTCGCTTCAGCGGTCATCCACTCTTCCACGAGGGTGCTTGAAGAGCACCCTCGTGGAAATAGGTTGACGCAGAAAGCTATTGATAGTACCTGTAGTGTGACTCGGACCCGGAGGGATTGCAGAATGCCAACGGAGAG